ACAGCCTTAGTTGCAGGCCTACTCCCTTCCAGGAACTGAGTGTTCTTTCTGTGTGTTATTGCATTTAATTAAAAAGGACTGACAACAATAGCTAATGCCTAAAAGTACCTTGCAAAGTGCTCACCTGGACTATCCCGTAACCTGTATAGAAGTGGGCACTATTGTTATCTTTCTCATCTCACAGATGAAGAAACTGAGGCACAGAGAGGTCATTATGCACAGTAAACACCAAAGTTTAACCCAGGCATTCTGGCCCCAGAGTTCAGGCTCTTAGAGGGGCTTGCCCAACACACAGGGCTGCTAAATGCTGTACCAGGGACTTCAACCCCAGTCTGCTGGCTGTAGGGCCTTTCCTGTTCCATGGGAAACATGGTGCCATGTTTCTAGGGACCTTAAATGCTGATTTCTTATTCACCACAGCCTGTTGCTCCCAGCACCAAATGCCTGGTCTGCAGAGCGAGGCCTGTGATCACCATCTTTCTTGCTCGTAGACCTTCAGTGGCTTCCAGGTGCCCACGGGCTCAAAGCCAGACTCAACCTCACACTTGAGGTCCTCAGAGATAGACTGGGCTGATCTCCTGTCACCCCGATTTCCCAACTCGCCTTGCGCACTCCTATTTCTAACCAGATGAACTACTCATCCCTCATCTATCCTTAGTGCAGGGATCAGGCCTGGCACCCAGAGCCGCATAGCCCTCTGGCAAACACAGTTTTGGTTTTTTTTCCTGAACAGGTTTTATTACACAGCGGGGATGGGGCTCAGTCCTTCTTGGCTGCTGCCTTCCTCATGGCTGCAAGGACATTGCTCAGCTCCTCTCTTTTCCTCTTGGCCAGGATGTGTGTCCCCACCCTTTTCTTGATGAATTTCAGGGCCCTCTTGTCCTTAGAGACCTTGAGCAGCTCCATGGTGAGCAGTTCATAGCAGGCAAAGCCACACACCTCTCAGGTCACGTCCCACATGGACTTGGTGTGCTTAGTGAGACACCCATGGCAGCAGCTGTGCCTTGTCTTACTCACATTCTTTGTCATCTTGTGGCCCTTGTTGAGGCCCATGGCCATGGGGTAGCAGAGAACCATGGCTGCTTTTCCTCAATGGCAGCTGTGGTGGGAGCCAAACACAGTATTTTATGTTATTTCATGTTTGGTATCAGTTTGGGATAATGATTTCTCTCCCCCTTTTCTCCCCACTAAGGTATTACAGTCTGACACTATCATTATTTATGTTGATGTTCAAATTGTCCCAGATTTGGCCACTAGGAACCCCTCCAACCTGGCTTTCGTGTCCTTTTCTCTTGGCATTTCCTTACTTTCTGGCCCAATGAGATGTTGCAGGTTCACACTGCAATTTCCCTGCACCAGCCCTGAGAATCAGTCATTTCTCCAAGGAGACTTGCCTCCTTTTAGTGCAGGAATGGTATTTAGAAAGCAGGATCTGGGTGCTAGGTGCTTGTTGCTACCAGGGTGCCATTTCTTGTGGGCTCTCTCAGCAGACAGAATGAGGAAGTATATTTATACATGGGGTTTGTAACTAAGAAGTTTCACTTTGAAATCTGGACTTCTAGCTCCTCTTCAGAAACCTAAATATCTGATCATGATCAGCAGGGAAATTGGCAACAATCAGCTGAAACATGGCAGGGGCTCCACGATATTTGTTTTTCTCACCTAAGTATTTATTGAAGGCTCCCTGTGAGCCAGGTACTATGTTAGACTACATTAATACTAATGTCTGGTACTATAGAGTATGAGACTACCCTACTCTAATACCTAGCTATGCCCACCTTGCTTGCTCGGAGGCAGCTGAGTTTCAATTTCTAATACTTTCTTTTGATTGCTTTCTTCCCTCCAGATGGAAGGAAAACTGGAGACCCTCACATGCTAAATAGCTCAAAGTCCAGCTCAAATGCCACGTCTTCCTTGAGACAGTCCCCAGTTTGCCTTGCCAAAGGTCCCCTCTTTATTCTCTAAGCTACAAGTCCTCATAACAGCCACCTTCTATTCTGAACTTTAGTTCAATTCTGGTTTTTAATTCATCCTACTCCTCGTTTCTTAATATTCTCTGATCAGGAGGCTGTACACTCCTTGAGGGCAGGGCTGTGTCTGTTTTGTTCACAGTTAAGCCCTTTAAATTTCCATTAGAAACAAATACTGTTGAACCTCTTATTGCAAGTAGGGCAGATAGTAATGATAAAATTGTGAGCAAAACAGGTATAGTTATGTCCTCATGTAGGTGACTGGCTTCTGGGGGAAAAATAAATGAAGATCACATAAGATGTATTTGTGGAATGATTTAAAAAACTTTATATTTGCATTATTGTCCCCATATATATGCTCCTTTAGAAAATGTATAGTATTGACTGATGTTTTGTTTTCCATGTCAGGGTGTGTCTTTCTTTTTTCACTGCTCATGTCCTGCAGAATTATGCAATCCTTTTAAACTGATATAAAGTCGTCCCTAGTATAGATGCACCATCCTTACTGATGGACATTTAGGATGTTTTTGGTTTTTGTTTTTGCATTGCAGACAATGATGCAACAGGTATCTTGTATGCTTGTTTCTCTGGTAAGAGTCCAGGAAATCAAATTGCTGGGTCATAGGATTGTTTTTCTTTTCTGTTTTTTTGTTCTATACACGTCTGTGTCATTGGAATTCATGTGTTACTTTTTTGATTTAAAAAACTCCTGTAAAATAGAAAGAAGTAGGTAGATTGTTCGTGTTGGCTGTTAGGAGGTAGAGGTGCTAATCATTGTCACATGCCTGTTATATAATCTGCTAATCATTATATAATAAAATCTGAAAAGGTGCTCCTGTGATTCCACATCACCAAGCAGAAAATCTTGGGCCTTTGACCCTATCTAAAAGGTGAGAAACATGGTTCTCTTCAGCAACTTTGGATCTTTTCTTTCCTTTTTAAAAAAAATTTTATTGATTGCTTTTAGAGAGAGAGAGAGAGGATGGGAGAGAGACAGAGAGAGAGAGAATGAGAAACATCAATTTGTTCCACTTATTTATGCATTCATTCATTGATTCTTGTACGTGCCCTGACCGCGGATCAAACCCCTGACCTTGGCATAAGGGGATGGCAAATGAGCTACCCAGCCAGGGCCCAGTCTTTTCTGATATGAAAGGTCACCAAGTCTAAATGACTGGGGTTTCCTACTGGTAGAGCCTCCATAAAAATTTGTTTCTGTCAGAGAACCACAGAGCTGGAAGGGACTTACTAGCAGGCTCATGCAGTCTTGCAACAATTTCCCAAGGACAGTTTTGAGTTGTTGCAAAGGCAGAGAGTTTGGGTAGAGCTGGAATTGCTGTAAACACCGTCACCTTGCAGGTGATTAAGAGAGGAGCTTAAACATGAGCTGAGGCTAAAGTACAATACACAAAGATCTTGAGACAGCAACAGATAAATATAGTAATCGCTGCTGTTTGAATAGCAGGTTGCTGGTTCTCCAAATGCTTTCTCATGTATTATGCCATTGACTCCTGAGACAAGACCCACCATCTTTAGCTGGGGACACCAAGGCTGAGAGAGAGAATCCTCCAATTGAGAAACATCTGTTGAGCACCTCATGATCAGACATGTTCAGAGCCCAGGGAAAATGTGAATGAATAATGAGCTCCAGGTCTTGTGGGGGAGTAATGTTTAAACATATATGTAATCCACTGTGGTAAGAGCTGAGATAAAATTGTGAAAGGCAGTGTTGTGGGGAACCAGAGGAAGGCTAGTCTTTGCCTGGAGAAATCAGAGAAAGCTTTGGAAAGGATGTGAGAGCTGAGTTGGGGCTGGAAGCCAAAAAAGCAAGGAAAGAATGAGGTGAGGGGAAGAGCTTGTATATGGAAGGAAAAGCATAAAGAGGCACAGAGGCCAAAAGGGTAGAAGAGCATGGTACGTGCAGGGAGGCAAGAGCACGTTGGAGGAAGGGAACGTGGCACAGAGTGGGCTCTAGCCTTTAATAAATGTCTGGGATAAGTTAGAGTGATAGAACGAATGGTTCAGTTGCAACTACATTCAACAATCTTGAGTATGTAACAGGCATTTTGCAAGCACTAGGGATTCAGTGAGCGGTGAACCATAAAAACGGAGTCCTCGAGGTGGGTAGGACAAAAAACAAGCCCATGAAGTGAAGCAGCAAGTCGCCAGTACTGATGTCAATGTAGGTCACGCAGGTACCACAGGTGCCTGATGAGGGGCACAAAGCAAGGAGACAATATCTTGGCCTTCCCCGACACTGACTTCCATTTAAGGAAGTTGAGAACAGAGAGGTCACTTCCTTTCACTTAACCAGATTTAAAAAGCAAAATGGACCTAGATCTTTATGCCTACTATTGTAATAATTGGCTTTCAAATATTAACTCAATTCTCACATGACTCCCGGGAGAAGTACAATTATTATTCCATTTTCCATGTGAAAAAACTGAAGCTTAGAGAGGTAAAGTAACTTGCCCGAGGTCACACAGCTAGAAAGTGGCAAAGGCAAAGCTGGGACCTTTCTCTTAAGGACAGCCTGTAACAACGGTCCTCTCTGGGCTGGATTCAGTCTCGCGTGATCCTGGGCATCTCTTGCTCTATTTAAGCCTCGGTATTTCCTTCTGTAAAAAGGAGGCGAGGTATTTAACTGTCAGCTCCTGCTTGGGGGGCAGTCAGAGCGCCAGTCTGGGAGTCGGAGCTCGAGGGTCACTCAATCTGCGATCTCGATCTCAGCTCGCAAACTCCGTCAACGGCCGCCGACCGGTTCCTATGACAACCCGACTAGCTGCCATCCTGGGGCAGACAGTGTGCGTCACTTCCTGGATCGTTTATTTCCGGGTCCTAGCCCCAGCACCAGCAGTGGCTTTTAAGTTTCCAAAGTGAAATTCATCGGCTTCTGTGCTCGCTTTTCTGCCTCCCGCTTCTTTCTGGGTCGCCCCTGGGTATCGGCTTTTTCCCAGCCCATCGCGCAGCCCCGACCCGGCCTCCCTTTGGACCCGCCTCTGGGGGACGTCACTTCCTGGCCGATTGTTTCCGGGTCGTCGCTGGCCCCGGGGCACTGGTCTCGATTCCCTGCAGCCGTCCGGAGCGGCGAGAGCCCACCCGGGCCGGCTCCGGCGGCAGCCGCAGCTTCTTCTCGCTTCCCTCGGCCGAGGCGTCCTCGGGGGCAGTGCCGGGGTAAGTGCGGGCGGCCGCGGCGGAAACGGCCTTTGGGGCTTCCCCGGGCGGAGGGGGCGCCCGACTCGGCGGGGCTTGGTGGTCAGGGAACGGGTCCCCTTGCGGAAGGCGGGAGCGACGGGCGGGCCCTCCCCCTCCCTTTCGGCACCTCGGGAGCCCAACTTCTCTTCAGGATCCCAACTCCCCCAAGGGCTGCCTCACGGACACCTAGGATCGACCATGGGTGGCTCAAGAGGAACACCCCCTCTTCGGCGACCAACCAAGGAGGAGGACACCCCAGTTCCATTGTGAGGCAGTTACGGCGCAGTGGTCCTCAGTCCAGTTTTTGGCGGCTGACCTCACTGTGTGACCTTGGGCAAGTCACTTAATGTTGTGATCATCAGTTGCCTAATTCACTAGTTAAATGGGAGTGAGCCTGCCTGCTAGGACCGTAGTAGGGATGAAATGAGATCTTTGGCATACAGCAGGCGTTCAGTAAGTGATAGCTGCTGATAATTCATTCACGGGCCCGTGGGGGCGGGGGGCGAGTTTGGGGCTAGGGTTGTTTTTGTTTGTTTGTTTGTTTGTTTTTACAAACTGACGTGGCCTTCCAAGGCTATAGGAATTACCAGGCTGGGAATAGCAGCCGCCAGCTACTGTCCCCGGCAGGGAGGGGAAACGGCTTCCTTCAGAGCCCCTCCGAGAGGCGGCTGCCACTAGGGAAACCCAATTTCAGCACCGCCGAGGCTATTTTCAGAGGTTTGGAAGGCTTTTCTGATTTTCTCTGGAATCTGGTTGGGGTTTGGGGACCCTCCGGTGTTTCACAGCCAGTGGAAGATGTCTTGGATGTGTCTCCAGAGCCTGGGGCTTGGAATGAATGCGAACGAGTGGCGTGCGGAGGTGGAGGGGGTTGAACCGCTCTCCCCTTGCTGCTGTTAGGAGCCTGAGGGAGGTCTGAGCCCGCCGAAGCCAGACCAGGGATCTGTAAACCTGTGGACTGGGGCATTGCTGGGACCAAAATAGCTCCTGCCCCGGCAGGGAGGGGGAAGCCTTCAGATACAGCTTGGGGAATGTTTCTGCTTGAATGGGCCAGCTGAGGTACAGCCAAGCTAACGCTTGCTATCCAGAGTCATTTCAGCTCTGTTCGGTGGGATTTTAAACAGATATAGTTTTCCTTTGAGATGTTTAAAAATAATAATTAAAAAGCTACCGCCTCCCTGACTGCAGTATCTATGTCTCCGTCGATCTGTTTTTCAAAAGGGGCCCAGACTGTGGGTGCAGGGAGTGCTGACCAGGCCTTTTGACTCTGGGCACCTGCCTGACTTTGTTGGGGATGTTCAAGTGCCTTTGTTTTTTTTTCTTTTCTGCCAGACTGGCACATCTTGGCTTTCCAGTCCTTGGGTTGCCTGGAGAGATTAACAGCTTCTGTCACTGCACTGTCTGGTCTCCTGTAACCACGCTGTTTTTGCAGTGAGCGTGTCTTTGGTTCTTGCAGAGTGCTGGGAATAAATTGGTTCTGTGCTCAGAAAAGACACCAGCTCTGACCAGCTGTAATGCAGCCTGTATTCTCAGAAAATGTATTCAGGACGGATGATGTCAGCTGCTTCACCACTGGCCAGCCTCTGGCCAGCCTCTAGCCTTGGCCCTTGAGCTTACATCATAGAGCTTTGTGGCTCTTCCAGCCCCATTATGTGTGGGCAGATGGGAATTTTGCACTACAGGAATTTTTGAAACTCAACTGTGCTCTCCGTGCCTTGGCGCATTCCAGCTTAGCTGAGCCCTTTTAAGTAGCGCTGTCCAGCAGTTGCAGGGGCACAGCTTTGCTTCAAAGCAGTGCAGCTCAGAGCCCGAGTCGGGGTTTGGCATTAGACTGAGTTTCAAATCTCAGACCCGCTTCTTCCTAGACTTGTGACCTCAGACAAGTGATGTGGCCTCTGTGAGCCTCAGTTTCCTCTTCTTTAACCTTGGGGCTGTCCTGTGGATTTCCTTGAATTTTGTGAAGCCTCAGCAGAGGGCCCTTGTGTTCTAATCCTGTCATGAATGCTACTAATTTTAACAATAAGTGAATGTGATAAATGGGACAAAGCACAGGCCTCGGGGTTGGCCAGATGAAGCTCAGATTGCAGCTTTGACCCTTCGAAACTCTGTTGGGCGCATTGTTTAATGGCTGAGCCTTGGTTTCCTTGTGGCATTATTACGTGGGTTAAATGGGATGATGCAGTTGAAGCAGAAGGCCCAGTGCTTAGCACATAGGATCTCAATAATTGTTAGTTTCCTTCTCTCCTTTTGCATTTATTTTCTCTCATCTTTTTCCTCACCTATCTAGGCTGGTTCAAGATTCTTCTTAGATGGGTTTCCCGTCCTTGACTTGAGAGTAAGGACTGTGAACACCAGCTGAAGAGCTATTTGGATCCCTTTTCCTTGTTTATTGTTTGCCAGCAACAAACAAGGGTGTGGACTGTGGTGTGATTACAGAGCAGCAGACTGAGCTTGAGGGTGGCTGACGTTGTTAAAAAAAATCAGCTTCTGTGGGCTTGAGGCTGACTTCCTTGGAGGAAACTCACAGCAGTGTTTAGGAGGCTTGGTGTCCCCCGTTTACACTGTTCTCCGGTGTACCAGCAAACAGTCATTGGGGCTAGAGGCAGGATGGACGCTTCTATTAGATACAAAGTGGTAAATGCACGTGGGTTTTTATTAGCAAGGGCAAGTGATGTCTTCTCTCAGCTTGCAATACAGTTTTATTGTTTAAGACAACATGCATAATTTGATACTAGACAGTAAATTCTTTCAAATAGAATTGGGGGCAGGGCTGTGTCTTCTCGTCTGCTGTCCCCTACTGCTCCTACCACCCGGTATCCACCCCCACTGCATCCAGCCCGGGGCCTGGCACGAGGTAGGTGCTGCGTACATCCTTGTTGAAGTCAGGAATCGCGGGGTGGTGGGAGGAACACAGGGATGGAATCTTGGGTCCACGTTTTCCTAATCCTGAGCTACTTAGAGCATGCCGTGTCACGGAGCCTCTGTCCCTTGTCTCTCCAGCTGATCTCCCAGGATTCCTGGGAGAGCTAAAGAAACTAAAGGGGTGGCATCGTGGTTGCTTACCTCCTTTGCATCATTCACTTCACCTGTTTTATCAAACACCTGCTAAGTGCCAGGCTCTGTGTTGAGCATGGTGATGAACAAAACAGCTGGGGTCCTTGCCTTTGAGGAACTTACTGGGTAACTGGGGAGATAAAGAGAGGAAGCTAGTCACTGACTAAATGAAGTTGATCATTTCAGATGGTGATTATTCCAGGCTAAACGGATAAGGAGGGACTGGGGAGGGGAGAGCTACTGAGCCGGGGCTGTCTGGGAGGGCTGCTGAGGGGCGGTGTGTGCGCTGAGGCCCGAAGGAGAGCGAGCCAGCTGTGGGCAGACTCAGAGGAAGATGATGCAAAAGGAACACGGGGACAGGTCCGGAGCCAGAAAGGAGTTCGCACGGTCTGAGAACGGCAGTCAGCTCCTGTGGGTGGGACCTAGAGGGATGGGAAAGGCTGCTCTGAGAGGTGAGCAGGGGTGTGACCGTGTAGAGCCTTTGACCTTGGTCAGGAGGTAGAATCTATTCTAAGTGGATCTCTGTTGAGCTCCTCAGGCATATTTGTTCTGTTTGTTCCTAAACATTGGGCTTCCTTGGCAGGGCAGCGGGTGGGAGAAGGTGGCCTCTCTGAGTCTAGCTCTCCTGCGTGTCTCACCCTCCGCTCCTCAAAGCTGGAGAAGTCAGACGAGTGGCTCACAGAGGCGTGGATGATCTTACTAACCTCATGATGGTGGCCAGGCTCATCGGCCTTTGGGACTTCCTGAGCTGACCCCAGACCTGCTGATGGGCTCCACAGGTCCGTCCTGTCTCGCTGCTGCTGCTTTCTCGGTCCCCTACTGTTTCCTGCTGCCAGCGGGGGCCTCTCATTCAGACAGCAGGTCTTTCTAAAGCACGAACCCTGCTTAGGTTACCTGTGCTTAGGTTACCTTACTGAGTAATTGGGTCATGATCCCTGCACCCATAGAGCTGTGGTCAGCAGGGCAGGGCGGGTAAGTGTGAAAATACACGCATGACCCAGGCAGAGCTTTGTCCCACTCTGATCTTACCTTCTTGAGAAAGCTTGGCATCTTGGGGTGTAACACCTTCAGACACCAGGAATGGCTGTGTGTCTGTCAAGGACTTCTCTTAAGCTGGCACTCTGTGAAGCACTTTGTAGACCGATTGTACACAACCCTCCCACCAATTCTGGTCTCTGAGTACTATGACCAACCCCCGTTTTTCAGATGAGAGAACTGAAGCCCAGAGAAGCTGAGTAATTTGCCAAAGTAACTTAGAGAAGCAGACCCAGGATTCACACCCAGGAAGCCTGGCTTTGGAATCTGTTTGTCCCTGCTGTGCCGTGTTGCCTCCCCCAGCCCTGGCAATATCCCTCAACAAATCCAGTATTACTGGCCCTGGCCTGGTAGCTCAGTTGGTTAGAGCATTGTCCTGCTATACCAAGGTTGCAGGTTCGAAACCCGGTCAGGACACATACAAGAAACAAGCGAGGAATGCATAAACAAGTAGAACAACAAATCAATATTTCTCTTTCTTCCTCTCCCCCACCCCTCGGCCTTTTCTGTCCTCTTTCTTTCTAAAGTCAGTAAATAATATTTAAAAAAAGAAAAAGATTATTGCTGGATCTGGCTCTACTAACGGGCGGCCAGGCAGACAGTAAGAGTGTATCAATTCAGTGTCCCAGCTCAGAGTGCTCTATCCTCTCCCAGTAGAATTGTAAACTGCTGTTAAGGTAGAGGGGAATGCAGGCCATCGAAGGCAGGCCACAGCACTCTTTGGGGGCTGAGGGCCACCAGCCAGCGTGCGGTTTTTTTAAAAGATTGCTAATAGGACCCTGCCCCTTTTCCCCTTGCCTTGAGTTCTTCAGACAGGTGCTTCGTGTGGCTCTTGGCATAAATGTACAATTCTTAATGAGCTCTTCGAGGTATTGGGGACGAGCTCCTGCGTCTGCCTGTGGCTTCATCTCCCCTTCTCTCTCCGCACCACAGGCTTCTTGCTTTTCATAGCCACGCTCCTTCCTTCCTGCCTCAGGAAAGCAGGGTGTGGTGGCGAAAGCCATGGACTTTGGAGTTGGACTGCCAGGGCTCTGATCTCAGCCCTGCTTCTGAATAGTGTTGCAGCTTTCAGCAAGTTTCTTACTGTCTCTTTGTCTTGGTCCCCCCATCTGTTAGATGGGGATAACAATAGGACCTGTCTCCGGGGGCTGGAGAAGATGGAATGCGTAGTGCGGGTAAGACCAGGCACGCAGGGAGCGCGGACGGTGTTAGCTTGGGCCTCCCGCCCTGCTGACACCTCCGCTGTCACGCTCCGCCCGGCACACCCATCCCTCAGGTTTAACTGTCCCTGCCTGGGGAGGGCTTTTGAACACTTCCCCTCCCCACAAAACCAGGAAGGTGCTCCTGGTCACACTTCATTTTGGGAGCTGAATTGTGACACGTGGAATCCGTGTTCAATAAAGGTTCAGGAAGAGCAGAACGAGGCCCAGAGCTGGTGGTGCCCACCGTTCGTTAGGACCGTTCTGTGTTTTGTTTTGCGGCAGTGGCCGCAGATGATTTGTGGACCATTGCGAGGAATGACATGCTTCTCGTTCTTCCCCTTCCACAGCATTGCGCTGGTCCAGGCGGGCAACATGTTAGTGCTTCTAGCCATGTCCCCGCCTCTAACCCGGAGGCCATGGAGGAGATAAGGTAGCCCCTCGTCCCTGGATCGGATGGGGAAGCCCAGTTCAATGGATACAAAATATAAGGATGACTTATTTCGGAAGTATGTGCAGTTCCATGAGGGCAAAGTGGACGCCACCCCCAGCAAGCAGCGGCCCGGCAACGATGAGTACCTGCGGGTGGCAGCGTCGACCTTGCTCAGCCTGCACAAGGTGGATCCCCTTTATCGATTCCGGCTGATCCAGTTCTATGAGGTGGTGGAGAGCTCTTTGCGCGCACTGAGCTCCTCCAGCCTGCGGGCTCTGCACTGCGCCTTCAGTGTGCTGGAAACGGTGGGCGTCAACCTCTTTCTCTACCCGTGGAAGAAGGAGTTCAGAAGCATCAAGGTAAGGTCTAGGGAAGGGCCCCCCCCTGCTGACCTCCCAGGCCGTCTTGAGAGGGCTTGTGCCAGTGCGATCACACCCCTTCTCTGCCTGCAGACCCTCCTGTGCTTCCCCTGCTTTTGAGGCAACAACCAGAATTACCCCCGTGGCTCCCACCCTGCCCGTCTGCCTAGTGTCGTCTCCTGATGGGGTCCCCAGCCCTGGCAGCCCACACCTGCAGCTGGGCGTGGGGAAGGGCAGGTGGCTCCCGGGTCTTGCAGGGCCTCAAGGCCCAGGGCAAGGGCATGCATTTATCTCAGCGGGCTGGGAAGCAAGGCAGTGCCAGGGTCAGCTTACATTCGAAGATAGTCCTGCTGCTGGTGTGCGGGCAGCAGACCGCAGAGGGGCCGGAGAAGGGCAGGGGACCCGTGAGAGGCTGCTGCAGAGGGCCGGCTGTAACACAGAGCAGCGGGGACGGTGGAGTCGGGAGGGCGCGAGTTCAGACTCATTCTGAAGGCAGTGGCTCAGGAGGATTTCCACCAAGGCAGGGTCCTAAGTCTGAGGTACGGGTGGGACAAAGGTAGGTTTACAGTAGTTTGTATGGAAAATAGTACAATAACATAATACAATAATAAACACTGTGTTTCACGTATCCACAACTGTAAACCTACTTTTGCCCCACCTGTACTCTTCAGGCCTTTGTAGAAATGCCGGGAAGTAGTAGTCCCATGGCTCGTTGGGCACCTGCCTCCCCGCAAGCCTTTTCCTTCACCACGCTTGCCCTGCTCCTCCTCATAGGGAGCAGAGCTGCGGTGCCCGGCCTAGGAAGCTAATGGCTCTGTTCCTCACACTCGCGTCATTTCCCTCACACCAGTGCGCTGAGCGTTGGGTAAGCATTAGCTTCTGCCTCGTGTAGTGAGAAGATAACTGGGATCGTTCCCTTCCCTTTCCGCGGTTCCCCGTGTTCCAGTCCAGACTCGGATGTACTGTGCTTTGAGACCATCTCCCTTATGTGTCTCAGAGAGAAAGTCCCGCCTCTTTGCTCCCCTTCCTTCTAGACCTACACGGGACCCTTCGTTTACTACGTCAAGTCCACGCTGCTGGAAGAGGACATCCGAACCATCCTGAATTACATGGGCTACGTGCCCGAGCTGGGGACTGCATACAAGCTCACAGAGCTGGTGGAGACCCTGCAGGTGAAGATGGTCTCCTTTGAACTCTTTCTGGCCAAGGTGGAGTGTGAGCAGATGCTGGAAATCCACTCACAAGTCAAGGACAAGGGCTATTCCGAGCTGGACGTGGTGAGCGAGCGCAAGAGCAGTGCAGAGGATGTGCGGGGCTGCTCGGACGCCCTGCGGCGGCGGGCTGAGGGCCGGGATCACCTGCCAGCCTCGATGGCCCGTGTGGCGCTCCAGAAGTCTGCCAGTGAGCGAGCGGCCAAGGACTACTACAAGCCCCGCGTGACCAAACTCTCGAGGTCGGTGGACGCCTACGACAGCTACTGGGAGAGCCGGAAGCCACCCCTGAAGGCCTCGTTGAGCCTGCGGAAGGAGCCCGTGGTGGCAGATGTGGGGGATGACCTCAAGGACGAGATCATCCGCCCGTCCCCCTCGCTCCTGGCCATGTCCAGCTCCCCCCATGGCAGCCCTGACGGCCTTGCATCTTCCTCCCCCAGCAACGGCCTCGGCCTGCTGCGCGGCACGTATTTCTCGGCTCAGGATGACGTCGACCTGTACACGGACTCGGAACCGAGGGCCGCCTACCGGAGGCAGGACGCCCTGCGGCCGGACGTGTGGCTGCTCAGAAACGATGCCCCCTCCCTCTACAAGCGCTCGCCCCCTGCCAAAGAGTCTGCCCTGTCCAAGTGCCAAAACTGCGGTCTGTCCTGCAGCTCCTCCCTCTGTCAGCGCTGCGACAGCCTGCTCCCCTGTCCCCCAGCCTCCAAGCCCAACGCCTTCCCTAGCAAGTCCTCCACCCACGACAGCCTGGCCCATGGGTCATCTCTGAGGGAGAAGTATGCAGGCCAGACTCAGGGCCTGGACCGGCTGGCGCACTTCCACTCAAAATCCAAGCCCTCCACCACAGCCACTTCCCGCTGTGGCTTCTGTAATCGCCCAGGTGCCACCAACACCTGCACCCAGTGTTCAAAAGTTTCCTGCGACGCCTGCCTCATCGCCTACCATTATGACCCCTGCTGCAAAAAGAGTGAGCTGCACAAATTCATACCCAACAACCAGCTGAACTACAAGTCCACCCAGTTCTCCCATCTCGTGTATAGATAGACTGGACCTTGCACCCCCTGCTCCAAGGGCTACGCCACTGACCTGCTTTCCTGGGGAAGAAGCGTTAATGCATTGATCTGGGCAGCGGAGACCTGCACTTAACCATGTGGGTGCCGGGAGATCTGGGTTGGCTGCACCACGTGGGAGTTCACTTAGTGACTAACATACTTCAGCTGGTGGCTGCTTTGTCGCCTGACAAGGGAGAGGGTGGCACTTCCGTTCAAAATCATTTTTGCTAATCTCTCCACTCCCTTTTTTTTTTTGGAAAGAGGATTTCTATCTCTGGGACTCCTGCCACCTCTACCCCTCCCACTGCAAAGCCAACTTGGACTGGGAAGGGCCCTCCAGGTCACCTCCAAATGCCCACCCGGAATGGCGAGGTAGAGGCCTGTTGGCTTGTGAAATGAGCCCTCCTGCCACACCGGGCCTCTTCCAATGGCTCATCGCTCCTGCCACCCGCTTCCCACATAAAGGGATCCCCGCCTGTGCTCTCTGCCCGACTCCCCACCCCACCCCAGGTTTCAAAGGTGGACCGAGTCTAGTGTTAGCTGAGTGTCACCCTGTGGCCGTCCTAGCTCAGTTCGGCCCCTGGTGTTTGGGAGCTTCGCTCCAGTGTGTCGGAGCGTGGACCTTCCACAGCAGGACTGACTGTCCCCTTTCTGTTGTTTGCACATGTCCCTCTTACTGTACTGTAAATAGATATTTTTGAAATTTATTTTTAAATAAATATTCAACTTGCTGTGTGTTTCAAAGTGGTTAAAACATTAATCATGTAGCTATTTATAAAAATGCCCTGGGTCCTTTAGTCTTCCAAGGGAGGGTCTCACACCCTTCCATGCTGTGTCCTCCACTCACCCCAGCCCGAAGACAGAGTGGAGAGTGTGGGGGCAGAGGAGGAACAGAGACAATGTCCCCAAGTTGGTGGAGAGCCACTGTCTTCCCTACAATGAATCTCTATACACCTACCTCCAGTGTGCACTACGGGGGTCAGTGCGGCCGGGAGGCCTGCGCACCTACAGACTGTGGAAGCCTGCTGAGGAGGCAGGAGCCTCGCCTGCGCATCTACAGCCTGGCCTTGGCCACTTGCCGAGTGTGAATTTGCACTCCGAACTCCTCGAGTCTTGCTTCAGAAGAAAACTCATTTGGGATTCCCATCACCCCTCCATCTCAAGTCACCTTTTCTTCAACTGTTTCTAGGACTCTGCAACATAAGCGATCTTTTTGCACTAAAAGTGGGCGGGAGTTGGCGTGTGCCCATCAGACAGATGTCTCCAGAGATTCTCAGCTGAGCCGAAGCGCTTCCAAACCCGAAGGCCCCTTAAGCTCCTCATGTGAATGACTGACCCCTGGCGTTTCCTTGTGGGGGCCAGAGCAGGAGTGGGGCAAGAGTTTGAAAATAAAACTGCTTCCTTGTGAAATAATACTATATTCTAGCCATAAGTGTTTGTGATGTACAGAATGTTACAGGAATTGACATGCAGCGGGTTTTCTGGTGGAAGGAGGTATTCAGCTCTTGAACAAATGTAAGTCCGGCTGAATTCTGAAGCCACTGTGAATTTGCTGGTGTTCTCCTAACTCAGTGGAGTGATTTTAAGGTTTTTCAAATCTTCTATGGCTTTTTTATATATCTAGTAGATCACATGTAGATATTCAATGTGTATATAAGCTGAATTTCAACTTTATTACCAAGACCACTCCATTCTGGCGCATTCATCTTTGATCTTCCTTTCCACATTTCAGAAGTGTCAATGCCTGTCCCACTCCTGAGAGCTCTAGTTTTCTAGTTTTCCATTTCCAGATCACTGCAGCACTACAGTTACTCTTTTAACCAACCGTGATGCCACGTAACTTATGCATTGAACAAGAGCAGGAACAGAAACGCTGTCCTCGGAGAGAAAGTGCAGTGTACGTGCGGATTGGCATGGAAGTGCGGTGGTCGTGGACTGGGACAGGAAATGCTCTGACCGTGCTCCTCCCCGGTGTGTGTCTTACTGTATGAGGTTGCTGTGAGTGAGAGAGTTAAATAGATGCTAATTTAAAAATGCAGATGTTTTGCATTTGATTTTTACCAAGAGTTGAAATGTTGAGAGACGATGTAAAAGAATAATAAAGTGTCTTCCATTATTAAATAAAGTGTTTGAGGTTTTATGTCCCCTTTCCTTGCTACTTTGAAGTTTGAGTTGCTTGGGTTTTGGGATTCCCCCCACCCCAAGCCACATTTAGTTCTTTAATTACACTTTCTTCATGAAACTGACAATAAGAGCTGGCATTTGAGCGCTTACTGTGAGCCAGGGACTTTGTTTCTTAATTTACTTTTATTTTTTCATACTTTCCTCCTTTTCTAAAATTTGTTGATTTTAGAGAGAGAGGAAGGGAGAGAGATTACTATCGATTTGTTTTTCCACTGATTTGTACATTCATTGGTTGGTTCCTGTATGTGCTATGACCAGGGATCGAACCTGCAACCTTGGAGTATTGGGACACCCTCTAACCAGCTGAGCTACCCAACCAGGGCATGCGCTGGGCACTTTATATGCTGAGACTTGGTGTGCGTGATCTTGTGTAATAGTCCCTACACTCCTGTTAGGTGAGTGCTGTTATGCTTCCCATCATACAGGTGGGGAGGCAGGTGTACAGAGTTCAGCCGTGGTGCCCAGGAGAAATGACTTTTTGGTGACTGGCAGGCATTAAATAACATTGAGGGATGATGTGAAAAAAATTAATTCCATTTTTAATTCTTTCAATCCATTTAAATTCTTCAAGGAGGAAGTCAGTTTAATGCTAGCTTGTTTTTAACAAAAAAAGCAGGTGTCAGGCTCTGAGCCTTTGGCAGAATCTTAGCTAGATCTTTTTGGTGTAGGCTGTACTGGTTTTCTGTCTACAGCAATGATAGGAGATTCCTCTAAAAATCAGTTTAAGGTGTTTTTAAAAAATGATGTTGACTCAGAAGCAAAATAGGTGGCAAAAATCTTAAGGCTGGTATAAGAGCATGATGACTGCCAAGCCGGCCCCCATGGGGTGGCTCAGCTGCCGGGGAAGGGGCTGCACAGGTGTCTCCATTCTGTGCACTGGCTGAGCAAATGTCTAGGCCTCGGGCCAGATCAAGGTCCAGGTGCTGGGTTTGGTTTGAGCTACAGCATAGGAAATGGCACCTGCTGTCCTGGCTGTAGGAACAGCAGCTTCCTAGAGGTGAACACCCAGCCTGGGAGGGCGAAGGAAGCCAGACACTCGCTTCTGCTTCCAAAGCAGAGCGGAGACTTCAAGCAGATTGCTTAATTTGTATATGTAAATGCCAAGCATATTTAAACATCATCAGGCCCACCAGCTGCACCACGTTAGCCCTGCTGCCAGCTTTGAGCACCCATCTGCGGCACCCTGCATGCCTGTACCAGTGTCGGAGGCATGAGAGCTGGAGCAGGTGATGCCAATTGACCCCTGGTCTCCATTTACCCCGTCTCTCTTGGTAATGGAAGCCCCGAGTTTTAGACATATGGCCATCCAGAATAAAAGCTGTCTTTTTTAAAAAAATTACTGATTGCTTTTGGGGAGAGAGATCGATTTGTTGTTTTACTTATTTATGCAATCATTGGTTGATTCTTACACGTGCCCTGACCGGGAATCGAACCTACAACCTTGGTGTTATCGGGATGCCGCTCTAACCAGGTGAGCTACTGGGCCACAACAAAACTGTCTTTCCCACCCCCTCCTGCAGCCAGGCATGGACAGACAACCTTGTGGATGTCTGGTCCCTGGTCCCTGGGATGGAAAAGTACTTTGTGCGGCTTCTGAGATGTCCTTCCCGCCCTGACTCTCCCTGACTGGGGAAGCTGTGCTGGCTGGAATGGAGCAGCCACTTGAGACTCAGCTGGAAGCCAGTGAAGAAGAGGGTGGGGCAGGGGTGGGTCCCCGATGCCATTACTTACCTTAAACCACATTTCCCCCATTTGCTTATCTTAAAAACCTGTTTATTTTTATTTACAAAAGAAGTATAGTGAGCCTTTGTATACATCGAACTGTTTTAGTGGTTGAAGTTTCTACATTGTGGTGAACCTCTCTGCCTGTCCATCCACTTGCTTCCCCACTCCTAAATTTCTTTGAAGCAAATTCCAGTCATCTATTTCATTTGTAACCTTTTAAAAAGGTTTTATTTATTCAGTTTGGGGGCGGGGGGGAGAGAGAGAGAGAGAAAGAAAGAAAGTCAATGTGTGAGAGAGGCATCGATCGGTTGCCTCTCATATGCCCGCAACCCAGGCATGTGCCCTGACTGGGAATCGAACTGGTGACCCTGTGGTTCACAGGCCTGCACTCAATCCACTGAGCCACACCAGCCAGGGGTCATTTGTGACTATTTTAGTATGTATCTAAAATACAAGGACTTTTAAAGTGCAATACTATTATATTTAAATTTTTATAACAATTTATAGCAGTGACCATCCAGTCAATGTCTCCATGTCCAGTTGTCTGATAAATCCATATTTTAAAAAAGTTTGTATCAGGGCCCAAATAAGATCTCCACATTGCAATTGGTGGATAGCTCTTTAAATCATAGCTACTCTATAAAATGTCCCTATTTGTATACGGGCCCTGTCTTCTTTTTTTCCCTTGAAATGTATTTGTTGAAGAAACTGGAATGTCCTTTAGAGTTTGCCAGAGTCTACCGTTTCCTTATTGCAGCCCTGCTGTTCTTCTGTTCTCTTAGTCTCCTGAAAATTGGTAGTTGGCTCTTTTTCCCCCAATTCCTTACTGTTTACAAAAGTAGAAAGTAAACATTTCTTAGGAGTCAGAGCTTCAGCTTCATAAATAGGGGGTGAGGGGAAATCGCTTAAGGTCTAGGTGGGGCTTAGTGCATAGATATGGTCTGGGCCCCAGGTGGGCTGGGCAGGGATGGGTCCAGGTTCTCAGGTGGGCAGGGCTGCACTAGCCACACATTTCAGGTCCCCTGTTGAGGAGGTGCCTGGAGGCAGTCTTGGGGCTTCTCCTCTGGGGCCTTCTAGAGGCAGAGAAGCCAGTGGCAGAGGTGGGCCGCAGAAGCTGGGGACCACCCTAGGCTGAGCCAAGACATAGGCCTGGAGCTCGGAGTGGGTGGGGTACGGCTTGCGAAGGGGCTGGTCTGGGACAGCCCTCAGAGACAAGTCAGCTTGATCTCTAGGACCTTCTGTATCACATCTAGCTCAGCCCCTAAGGCCACAGCATGCTCCCGCACTGGCGGCTGCCTCAGGCCCCTGGTTCTGGGGAAGAGGCGAGAGCGACTCTTCTAAGGTGTCCTTGGCCTTCTTGAAGGCTGCCAGTTCCCACAGTGACAGAGGTTGGAACCTGCTGGTGTGGCAGCCCCTCCTGGTTATGGCGGGCTGGGAGGTGGAGACAGGGCCTGCTCTGGCCAAGCCCAGCACCACTGTCACCAGCACCTGGACCCAAGCTGTAGCCATGGCTAAATCTCAAGTGCTTCCCTGGCCGCATGGCTCTGTTTTTAGTCAGGCTCACTGGGCAGTCCCAGCTGATGTGCTAAGTGAAAAGGCAAATGGAAATTGGCTTCTCCACTCTGAGGGTGGGTGGGGCCAGATGACCCTGGACCTGTGCCAAGAATGAAAGAGAAACTAAAATTCAATCTTGAGGAGAGCCTGGTTTCTTAGAAGTCCGGGTCCCTGGATAATCTCCAGTTTAGGACTCTCTGGGGCAGCCTTCAGCAGGCTTTGGAGGGCCCCTCACTGCAGCAGGGGCAGGTGGAGGGGTAGGAAACTGGCTGGAGGCCTCTCCTAGTGGGGCAGGGACTGGGGGATCTGGGTGGGGCTGCCTGAGCAGCAGAGAAGGGGTATCCCTTTCATCACAGAATTGTGTAATTTTCCTTTCAGATTGTCCATAGTTTGTGTATGGAAGCAACAGATATTTGTGTGTTGATTTTGAATCCTGCAACTTGGCTGAATTCATTTATTCTAACGGGTTTGGTGGGGGGCGGGTTGTAGAATCTTTAGGGTTTTCTACATAATAAAAGCATGTTACCTCAGAATAGATAAAATTTTACTTCTTCCCAATTTAGATGGCTTTTATTTGTTTTTTCTTGCCTAATTGCTGTGGCAAGAACTTCCAGTACTGTGTTGACTAGAAGTGGCGAGAGTGGGCACCCTCACCTTGTTCATGATCTTAAAGTAGAAGCTTTCAGCCTTTCATCATGGAGTATGATGTTAGCTGTGGCACGTGTGCTTTCACATGTGGCCTTTCTTATGTTGAGGTAATTTCCTCCTGTTCCTAGTTTGGTGTTTTTATCTTGAAACCGTGTTAAATTTTATCAAATGTTTCTTCTGCATCAGTTGAGATGATCATGTGGTTTTTGTCCTTCCTTCTGTTCATGTGGTGTATATCACATGGTAGTTAACTTTTAAGGCGTGCTCAGATTTGGGTTTGATCCTGCTGTTAAGAATGCTTCAGAGATGTTGTATTCTTTTGTCAGGAGGCACATGATGTCCTGCCCTCTCCCTTTGGGCTATTAACAGCGTTAACTTAGCACTTAAATCCATTATTTCATTGGAGGTTGCAAAATGGAGATACGCCAATTCCAGTGTTCCTTCTTCGGCAACTGGACTACTCTAAGAAGGAACTTTCCTGTGGTGCTGTGACTCTACACGTGATAAAATTGCATAGAACTAAACACACATCTGCACACACCCACACACACGAGTACATGTAAAACTGGTGTAGTTTGAGCAAGGTCTGTGGATTGCACCAGTATGTTTCCTGCCATGATATTGCTCTAGAACTACGCAAGTCACCACTGGGGGAAAAGGCAGGGCACATGGGGCCTTTGTGTACTATTTTTGCAACTTCCTATAAACCTTTTTAAGTTGAAGATAAAGAAACCTCCCTCATCTACTAATTGACCACCAGTGGTATAAGAAAGGCAGGATAAATGCTTGCTTTTTTCCTTTGTTTTCACTTAAAATAATAAGTCAATCCCCAAGTTGGCCAAAGGGGCCAATCCCACTATCTGGTATGACAAGGTGCTTTGGATTCATCTTGCCCATATCCTGCTCGAGTCCAGTAATCAGCTGTTTCTCCAAAGAGCCCTGGGTCCTTTCACTGTGAAAGGACATTTGGAGACTATAGTCTGAGCATTCGGGGTGCTGACTGTCACTGGGTTGGTCGCTGTTTCTAGGTGTTTTCAATGGGCAGAGTTAGGAACATGTTGACATTAAAAAAAAACAACATACAAGTTCGTGCTTATACTTAAATTAAAATTCAGGACCACAGAGTTTTCACTTAACCTCATTTGTCTTTTTGCCCCCACACTGAGAACCCTGGCTCTCAAGGACTCCAGGGAAGCCACTACTAATTTTGACTTTGTCACCCATGACTGAAGCTAACCCTGACTGACACGAGGGCATGGCAGGCCAGGGGTGGCTCTTAGAGAGCGTCTTCATTCTTCACCAGGGCTGGGGCCAAGGACTGAGGCGCAAGGAGCGCGAGGAGCACTTGCCAGTTCATGCAGATGATGAACTGGTTGCTCACTGCGCTATTAGGAAATGAAGCATCAGGGATACAGGTGGAGCCAGGGTGGGTGAAATGTGGTTTAAATGCAGTTCCTCACCTTCTCTCCCCCACCCCAGAGGGGCCTAGGGTTCTGCTCTTGACCTTCCCAGCCTTTCTTCACACTTTTGCTACACTTGCCGCATCCCTAAGCACCCTTGTTTCCCAACGTTGTTCGGCGTGGTTTTAGATGAACTGTCTATCCTGTACCTTCTGCTGCTTGCTCTCCTCCCTTCCCTCAACTTTGAGATCTATGTTGATATGCTCGTTCTAGTTTCCTTCATCCATCCCTCCATTCTTACTGCTGTGTATGTTCCCCTGCGTTACTGTACGATTTATCCATCCTCCTAGTGACAATCATTTATTTAGCTTGTGTCCAACATCTTGATATCACAAACATTCTTATATGTGTCTCCTGGTATGTGAGTGGGTAAGAATTTCTCTAGAGCAGGCCAGGGGTGGGTACAGTTTTTCTGTGAATGACCAGATAGTGAATATTTTCAGCTTTGTGAGCTAAGAAGCAAAAAAAAAAAAACAAAAAAAAAAAAAAAAAAAAACCCACAAAAAAACAAAACAGAAGATAGGTACTTACATAATGAGAAAAAATAATTTTCTATAGTTTTTAAATTAAAAATTCAAAACTTGATTTGTAGACAATGGAATTTGAATTTCATATAACTTTCATGTCATGAAATATTATTCTTTTGAAAAAAAAATTCAAATTTCAACCATTTGAAATTGTTCACCACCACTCCCAGCTCTGCCGGAGCACCGTGGCGGGAGGGGCGGGGCGGGGCCCTCGTCTGCCGCGGTTGCCAGCCCTGCGCTTAGGGTGTGCGCCCAGGAGGGGGGAGTCTGGGCGAAGGGTCCTGGGCATCTGTAACTTCCCTAGGCTCTGCCAGGCGCTCTTCCAAGTCATTTCATCAGTTTGGACAGTCACCAGAGGACGAGACTTCCTGTTCCTCTGGTTCTCTTTATATCAATTACATTGAATCTCTCCACCGACTGTGTTGCTCCTCCAGTTTTGGTTTCACTTGTAATCACATTTTGAAAAGTGGCAACAACACACTGTGTATTCCTTACTATTGAATAAGTATTCTTTATGAAAGAAATAAAAAATATATATACATATACACAAGCTTTTTAAAGTTACCCATAATCCTTCCACTCAGAACTAAAGTTAAAACTTGGCACCTATTCTTTTTATCCGGTGTATAAACACACCACTAACTTAATTTTAGAGGCTAACGCATACATACTGTCTTGGAATCTGCTTGTCTCACCTTCATGAAGGTATATCATGATTATTTTCATTGTAACATAAAACCCAACCAGAAGCGGCATGAACAGTAAGAACACATATTCTCTCACATGATGAGACCTGGAGGGAGGTCCTCCATCGCGGGGCGGGGAGGGGGGGCGGGGGGGGGCTGCGGCAGGCCCAGGCTCACCTCGTCCGTCACATCATGGGAGGCAAAGGCCAGACAGTGGAAAGAAGGTGCTTCCCTTCCTTGAATGTCTTTGTGAGAATGAGGGCACAGTTCTGGAAATTCCCTAAGATGTTGCTTATCGCCCTGCCAGAACTGGCTCAAAAGCCCATTCCTCAGCCATTCTCAGGCAAGAGGAGCAGAATGGCTGGGCACGGCCTGGATTGGGAACAGGCCTGGTTTCCCCTTGATGTGTTTGGTCACCTGTTACCTGAAAAAAGTGGGTTTCCTTAGCAAAGACTGTACGGCCCAGGGTAGAAATGATGGTTGGGTGGGCCAGCTACAGGTCTGCCACGTTTGGAATTAGTGGGTATTTGAGAAGTCATACCTGTACTTTAAAAAAAAAAAAAAATCAAGATTTCTACCCCTTTGATTCATTTTTAGTCATATTGTAATCTCAAACATTTAAGGAGAGGATGAAATTTTTCTCTCTAAAGGTGATAAGATGCTGGCCTGTAAACATTTCCACATCCTTAAATCTTTAATAGCAGATAAATATCATTTTTTCTCACCAATTCCCTATTGATGGACAGAGGTTATTTTCAATTTTTCCTCTTTAGAGATTGCCAAGATGAACATTCCTGGAGCCAAATTTTGTGCACATTTGTTTTGTCCTTTGAAGGGAATTACTGCGTCCAAGCACAGAACACATCAAGGCTTTTGAAAAGATGTCCCCAGACTGTCCTCCAAAAAGATTTAACCCGCTGGTCCTCCACCAGCAGGTAGTTCACTTTGCCACAATATAAACCAACTACATTTTTGTTGCCCCCCCTTTTTTTTCTAAGCAAAGACCTATTTTCTTCCCTATTTGCATCAGGGAAATTAGAAAGTCTTCCTTCTTTTGTCACATGTCCAGTGAAGTCCCTGAATATCTAACTCATTTGTGTGAGAAATGGCAGGAACCTCAGTGGAAGGGGGTGTGGCTACTTTCCCCTCTACACTTGCACTCTGACCGGAGAGTGTGTGTTTATAAAACACAGCGTGGGGCCCTGGCTGGTGTGGCTCAATTGGGCATCATCCTGCAAAGTGAAAGGTCGCTGGTTTGATTCTTGGTCAGGGTGCATATGAGAGGCAAACCAATCAATGTTTCCCTCTTTTTCCTTCCTTTCCCTCCGCTCTAAAAAGGCATAAAATATAAAATAAAATAAAACAAAACATATGACCTAGAGCCTTGAAGACTGGGTTTCTGGAAGAATAACTTAATGATTTTGGCTGCTGTATCAGGAATGTTTCAGATTTGATTTCCTACTTCCCAGCCAGCAGGAGAAACACAAGCCTGCATTATGGAGGGAATGGGGAAGAGGCCAAGAGGACCGCAGCCCTCTTTACATTTAAAGTTCTCTTCGGTGGCAGAGCACTGCTGCTCAGAGACTCCGCGTCCCGCTTGAATCAGGGATGAGCTCTAAGCCCAAGGCTCCTCCTGCCTGTAGCTCCACGGCCAGGACTAGGGGCTGAATGAGCACCAGGCGGTGGAACTGAGCCACCCTCCGCCGGCGCCGCCGGCCCTGCCAGCCCACACTTGATCCCCGGAGACCTGAGAAGAGCCAGCTCCCTTCCCTGTCAGGCCTCACACCCTGAGCCTCAAGGCATGGTCGTTCCCAGGGGCCCCACGACGGCAGCGCCGCAGAGGGAGTGCGGGGCACGGCTCCCCCGGTCGGGTGCAGCCTCTGAGCGCCCTGGCTGCCCGGCAGCCTCCCGGGAGGCGCTCACTGGGCTTGTACTCCGGGTGTTCCCTTCTCTACACGCTGTGCATAGCTCTGCAGTCCCATGGCCTAGACCTCAAAGAAAATAAATACGTGAGAGGTTACAGTTATGCTGGATTTTTAAATCTTACAAGCATTTATTACCCCAAATAATATAATTATTAGGTATGCTAAAGGTAGGCAGCATCAATTTTTGATTCTCAGGCAAAAGACATTTGAAAAAAACTCACCAGAAAAATATATCTCTGTGGACTTTTGCCTGTTCCAAAGGCGACTGGCTGGACAGGCTGCTGAGGAACACGGTGACTCCCATTTCCGTGGAAATGCGCTCCCAGGCTGAGCCCTCGCTCAGTCAGCAGGGGGCAGAAGAGGCCCACGGGAGACCCAGGCTGGTGCAGTACCCGCCCCCACAGGCTTTTCTACCACAGTGTCATTTTCAGGTCTCAGCTAAAAGTGGCAGACCAGTTGGGACCGGCAACAAGGGGCAGCTTGAACTGAAAAGAACCTGTTTTCACTGCTTGTTTTATGAACTCAAAATGTTTTTTTCTGGCAAGCTACTGAGTTTGCAATGCAATTTCCACCTCTGAGATCAGATCCTGAGTTTTGGGGGATGAAGTAAACTACTTGTGAGTTGGGGGATGAGAGAAACAGTCTGGTCTCAGATCCCTGCCCACCCCCCACCTCATGTGGACAAAGGTCCCCTACTCTTACTTTCCACTAAAAGCAAATAGGAAATGATGAGACCCAAATTACGCACACATGAGTCCTCCAGTGGGGCAATCAGGTGGAGAAAAAGGATCCTGTTTGGCTCAAATTATGGGGTTAAGGTAGAGATTACAAAAACAAAAATGATCACTATTTTAGCTCTATAAAGTACAAATTTACTTTTCATGCATGAAAAGGAAACCACATGCTTCCTGCCTGACTCACCTTATACTACTGGGGAAAGGGATGGGTTGGGGGAGGGGCCTGGCCTCATGGGAGTCCCCGAAGGGCCCGGAGACCAGTCTTTCCTGACATCCAGAGCCACGCTGCCTGAGGCAAAGGAGATGGAGGCATATCTGCTGCCAGCCCAGGGTCTGTGCTGGCCCTCTGGGTCCCCACAAGAACCAATGATATGCGCGTGAAGAATTAAACCACCCAGAGGGTAACAAGTCCCAGCTCCGGTTTGGACCCCAGCCACACGTGGGATTGCCAACAGCCTGTAGGTGGGCCAAAGCAGGCACGAGGCAAGGGGCGGACGTAAGTCAGTACCTTCATTTCACCTGGATGTGAGTGGCAGCTCCTGACCCCGGTGTGTTGGGAGGGCGGAGTGCAAGTTCTGCGAGGGGAACGGACCCTGGGGTCGCAGTGGCTGCCTGGGGACCAGCTCCGTGCTTGGGCGAGCTGGGACCCTGGCATGGGCAGCACGCAGCACCCGGAACAGTAGAGGATTGGGAAAAGGGAAAACGCTCATTCGCAGCGAAGGTGGCGGCAGGTAAGCAGAGGGCAGGCCCCGTGCAGCCCGGGAAAAGGGGCCTCTGGACAAACAGGAACACCTCGCAGAGAATCAAGGCGAGGGAGGCGACTGCTAGGCTCACACCATTTTGTCCAAGTGCGTGAATTTAAAGGAAATCCAGCCAGCAGCCCACGTCAGCACTGACCTCCGGCTCCTCCCTCTAGGGGGCACTCTGGCCCCGCGGAACAGGGAGGCTCCCCCAGCCCGGGGCGCAGCTTCGGCAGGGGCAGGTAGCCGCGTGCTGGCTACCGGTGTAAACATTCACAGCATTCCCAGAGAAGGCAGCGGCGGCCTGCCGCCAGCGGGCAGCCCGTGAGGCGCCGGTCTGAGGTACGGAAGAAAAGGGTCACCCAGTCTTTCTTCTCAGCGTGTACGAGGAACATCGCAAAGGGGAGTGTGAGGTTTTCAAGGTTTCTGGGCCTGTCACTTAGGTCAGAATTGCTGCTGCTGAGGCCCGAGGCACCTTGATGACCAGGAGGAAACTGGCAGCGGGCTCCTCGCCCTGCTCCTCCGGGTCGTGCTGAGGGCGGGAGCTGGGAACCAGCGCTCCCCGAGGACTCCCAGTCACGGCAGCTGCCACAGCAGGGCGTCTCCTCCCGGGAACCTCGGCTGGACAGACGGCTCTTTGCCTTGGCTACAGAAGCAAAAGGAAACATTTACCTAGACAGGTGTTCCCTCTAATCTGTGAGCCGGGAGCGACGCTGCGGGCAGCAGTCCGGCTCAGTGAGGCGGGGAGCGAGGACGTGTTCAGGAGAAGCCGGCTGGCTCCGCGGGCCTGGGGTCCGGGCTAAGAGCGCCTTGGCTTCACCCTGCCTCGCCTTCCCTGAGGAGGCCGCCAAGTGCAGGCACCCTGAGGCCCTTGCTCGGTGTCCATCCTGGGGGCCGGGGGCCCTGCTCAGTCACAGCAGCTCCTGCTCATCGTCCTCGGAGCCAGAGGGGCCCTGGCGCACCTCTTCGTACCACTTGTTGGTGAGGGTTTTCATCTGTATGCGCCCATGGTGCAGGTCCTGAGGCAGGAGACACAACCAAGTCGGGCGGGTCAGGGTCGAGGAAGGGAAAGGAGCTGCTTTGTACCTTGTGCAGGGGATGGGAGGCAAGGCCCAGGGCCATGGCAGTTTCAAAGTGTTAAGTCAGCGGGGAGTGTTCTTTGTGGGGGCAGAGATAACAGGAGGTGTCACTCAGAAAGGAGAGGAGGAGGTGGCAGGATGTTAGAAACCATGGCTCCAGAATCAGATGCTCTTGGGCTCTCCTCTCTGCTTTGCCTCACACTGGCTGGGTGACCTCAGGGGGCTACCTTACCTCTCTGGGCCTCAGCCCCCCCAGCTGTCAGAGAGTGAGAACAGCTGCATCTGCTGCGTGGATTGTTGGGAGGATGGACCGAAGCTACTGTGAACATGGTTTGGTGCGGCTTGTGGTAAGAACTCACACACCACATCGGGGTTGCTGGCGCGGGGAACAGGGCTCGGCGACAAAGAGGCGGCAGCTAGAAGAACCCCACCCCACCCTGAGGGCCTGCAAGGGCCTGCAAGGGCAGGGTGACTGGTTCAGCAAAGCAGGCCCAAGCTGGCCCTATGAGGCTGCCTCCGGGTCTGTCACCCAGAGGCCAGCAGTGCCCGGAAGGATGGAACAAGAGCCTGGAGCCTTGGGCCATTGCCTGCAGCCCCAGCATGTCTGAAATTCCTCAGCTCAGATTCAGTAGCTGATCAATGTCCCCAGTCTATCATCCAGGAAAAGCAAACTGTGTTAACGAGTCTATTATTAAACTAGCACTAAATCCGGCAGCGAAGGAAAAACAGCAGATGCACCCTGGGAAGGAGAGCCAAGCAGGAGGTGGCGCCGGCCTCCCCGCCCCAACACAGCACGTGGGCCTTCCCTCCCGCTCCCCGTGGCCAGTGCTGGTTCTGAGGGAGGAAGGCAAGGGACCCCCGGTCGCGGGGCGCTGGCCTGTGTCCCACCTCCTGGGTCAGCCGACGCGTGAAGAAGGGGTTCAGGTACTTGGCGTCCAGCCACAGGAAGCCTTTGAGGTCCTGCCGTCTGATGTAGTGGGCTTCGTACTCCTCCTCGGTGAGCTCCGACAAGTGCTCCGACTCCACGGTGTTGCCCTGCGGGGAAGGGAGGCAGGTGAGGGCCGGCAGATGGGCTGCCATCTTCCTGGAAACCCCCGTGCCACCCAGCCTACCCAGCAGCCCTTCACCACTGGTCACTAGTGTCCCCAACCCCAACTGCACTTTCGAATCCATGCAGTGTGTCTATGGGCAGCAAGGGGCTTCCTGGGAGCATGTGAGGAGGCTGGAGGTTTGTGAAAACACACAGATACCCAGGGATAAATCAGAATTGTGAGTAACTTAGAAGTTCTAGGCCCAGGCTGGGCTTGGTTTGCAAGCTTCCAGGAGGTTTTCACGTGTAGGTCAGCACTGGGGAGTGGGAGGGAAAGGGCAGTGGGGGGAAGGAGACACACGGACATAATCCCAGCGGGAGACAGGCAGGCAGGAAGAGGACGACCGCAGGTGGCGTGGCAGGCCTGGAGGGCAAGCGGGCCCCAGGCTCCCCGGAGCTGCTGAGCCCCCGCCAGGCCTCTGCAGGGCGGCCGCGCAGGACCTGAGCACGGGGCCTGCCGCTCCGCCGCAGGGGCTGCCCGGCCCCACGGCTGGCTCACTGGGCCCCCGCCGGTCCGAAGGGCTAGTGAATCCACGGAGAGCGGGGCCCACTTGCAGAGTCCCTGATTCAGGAGCTCTGGGATGGGACCCAAGAATTTGAATTCCTAACAATTTCCTAGGGACACTGCTGGTCAGGGACCACCGGTGGAGACCGTGGCAGTTACGAGTGAAGGCTCTGGACTCTGTGTGACTGGGCCTGTCTGTGCCTCGGCGACCTCATTTGCAAAAGGAGCATGACAAGAGTCTCTGCTTCCTGCAGGTCATCGGGAGACCTGACAGTCCGAGGAGACTCGAGCGCTGTGCCTGTGCCACGGGACATTCCCTGAGCAGCACGTGCTCCCTCGGAGCAAACACCCTGCTTCCACTGGGGCCTAGGGGGACGGTTCACCAAGTGTGGCCACAGGGTCAGCACCTGGCAACCGGTTAGACCTGCACATGCTCTCTAGCCCCTCCCCTGACCCGTGGGACCCCGGAGTCCCGCACTGAATCTGACGCCCGCCAAGCAGTTCTGGACCTGCACTAGAACTTTTGGGGAAATCAAAGCTGGGGGGTGGGGATAGGGGTGAGGGTGAGGGGCAGGGCCGCTGAGAGGGAGGAAGGCTGAGGCTGCCCAGATCGAGGCCCTCTGAAGGTTTCTTCCCAGCAGCGCAGCCCAGACCAGGGCTTTCCATGTGAGAAGTGGGCACATCCACTTGCGCTCTCTCCTGGCTGAGGATTTCTGTGCCATCTGTGACCAAAGATGCTGATGGCCTCGAATGAGGCAACTACAAAAAGATGCATTTACGGAAATTCGGGTGTGTGTGTGTGGAGAGGAGGCAAGGGAAGTGGCACAGAAAGGCGGGAGGAGAGGCCAGGGCGGCCTCTGCCCCTGTTGAGAGCCTGGCTCGGCACACGGGACAGGGAAGGCAAGCCCACAGCAGACGCGGGAGGGCGGCCCCTGGCAGGAGCAGCTGCACGCAGGAGCGTGGCCCGGAGGCAGAGGTGGGCAGGGGAGAGGGGCCTCGGGCCCACTGCAGCCTGGCCCTGGCACCTCGGTCCCCAGTCGGGCCCTTGTCTGGCCGCGGTGCAGGGCCCTCTCTCAGGGTCCTCGGAGCCACCTCCCCGCCTCAGGCCCCAGCAGGCGGCTTTCGGTAAGCATTGGAAAGGGCGTGGTTTTGATACCTTCCAGTCCTGGGCTCTGATGGGGTGGTACAGTCACTGGCAGGGGAGGAGTGTTGCTAGGAGAGCCGGACACAGGCCCACACTCTCTGTTCACTGCCTCCGAGGCTTCATCAGGCCACAAGGCTGACAGACAAGCCGCCCAAGAGCTACGCTTCAGAACCTTAGTCCAGCCTCCGCGTCAGCTTGGGCAACAGCACGTGTGCGTGTGTGCGTGCTGAGCATCCTCAAATTGAGTCTCATTTCCCCATTTCCTGGCAGTCAGTGGGGACCAACCCTTTGCCATGCACCCTCCCGCCCCCCACCCAACACTGACCATCTTCTCTGTCTTGCTGAGGTTGACATCCTTCCTGTTGCGGCGACGCGCCTTGGCGTCCTCGATGTCCATGAGGCGGATGAGGGGCATGGTACTGCCGCCCAGCAGCAGGATGGTGAAGAGCACGATGATGATCGTGGTGGTGCCGATGAGCTGCCGCTTCTCCATGGGCTCCAGGTCCAGGTGCAGACTCAGGGCGTAGGGGATGGCGCCCCGCAGGCCTGGGGGCAGCGAAGGGCGTGAGGGGGAGGGCCGCACCACCCCGACCCGGTTCTCTGGGGACCTGGGGACAGCCCAGCAGCATGGCCAGCTGAACACCGCACCCCACTGCGCTGGACAGGACGAAGGTCCCGGGAGGCTCCGAGGTGGGAGAAGAGCAGGCCAGAGAGAAGTGGGGCCCGACAGGAGCTCACCTCCGACCTCACGTCACAGGCTGGTTGAGAAGATCAAAGGAGCTGCCCTGTCCAGGCTGTGAAGCACAGTGTGTGCATGTGTGTTTATCAAGCCCAACTCTTGGATTTTAGAAATACGACGACTGGTGCAGGCCGAGTGGCCCTCCCTGGGTGCGAGCCCTCCCTGGGTGCGAGCCCTCCCTGGGCGCAAACCCTACCTGGGCGCGAGCCCTCCCTCGGTGCGAGCCCTCCCTGGGTGCGAGCCCTCCCTGGGTGCGAGCCCTCCCTGGGTACGAATGCTTCTTGGGTGCAAGCCCTCCCTTGGTACGAACCCTCCGTGGGTGCGAGCCCTCCCTGGGTGCGAGCCCTCCCTGGGTGCAAACCCTCCTTAGGTGCGAGCCCTCCCTGGGTGTGAACCCTCCCTGGGTGCGAGGCCTCCCTGGGTGCGAGCCCTCCTTAGGTATGAACCCTCCCTGGGTGCGAGGCCTCCCTGGGTGTGAGCCAGGTCCTGCGCTAAGTGCTCTGAGCACGTGATCTCACTTGCTCTTCCCAGGAAACCATAAAGCAGGTCTCACTACCCCCACCATCTACACAGGAGGAACCGAGACCGAGAGACTAGTGCCCTGCCAGGGCCGCACGGCTTCACAGGCAAGAGCACAGAAAGCAGTTTGCCCAGCGCCCCCTGCAAAGCTCCTGACAGTGCCGACAGGCTTGGGGACCCGAATGGTTTCTGGCTCACAAGACAACACTTGTTTTGAAAGGGCTCTGGCCACGTGTGCCCTCTACATGGTGTGTGCCTTCGTAAGCAGCATCTGCCCCTCACTGTTCATTCAAGACTGGACTCACCACTAAACCACATGATGAACATCATCTTCGGTGTGATTTTATGATCACGGAAGAAATTCAGAAGGTAGGAAAGAGGGAAAATGTTCACCGCTCTGCCGAACAGTACAAGCACCTGTTAAAGCAACACACAGTCTTAAGACAGAAACCTCTGCTCCTTAGAGGTGAGGCTTGCTGAAGCTCACACAGGCCTTGGAGCGCACCCACGACAAGCACAGCATTCCCCTCGGTTATAAAAGGCGTGAGTGACACAACGCCACCCAGAACCCAGGTGGGTGTGCTGTCCTTCCTGCCTGGTTCCCGCCTGTCTGGGAACAGATAAAGCCTTGTTCGTTACCTCTCAGCAGTCAGAAGGACAGGACTAGCAAGGTCTCAGCACTGGCTTTACTAAGGACAGAAGAACAGAACAGAATGCCAGGAGGCCACGCAGAAGTACCCAGAGATTAATTTAAGGGCAGTCTGACTCCAAAGGTGCTCTGCCATGGGACAGGGCTGTGCTAATCATTCCCAAAGGGCTAGCCCTGGAGGGCCAGACAAGGCATTCCTGCCCCTCCTGTGGGGGCCTACTCCTCAGGGGAGGGAAGAAAGACTGAGGAGGGCACCTGTACACACAAACGCAGCTCCCTGAGCAAGAGGAACACGTGGCAGGTTCTAAAAGGAGGTCACACAACCCGGCCAGCGGCTTGCCATGGTTTTTGGTTCCTGACCATCTCCAAAAGCATGTTCGTCTTAACGAAATACAGCTTTATGTAAAGTTTAAATCTTTTCTAAGTGGGTACTTAGTCCTTAGACCTACTTATTAATTTACTTCTATTTTTTAATTCAAAAAAGATAAATACACAAGTACACTCCATAAGCTCTAAGTTTATCCTTTTAACCAGCACGAGTTGAGTGTGCTTTGGAGCACGTGCCTTGGATGGTCAAGTTAATGATGGCTCCCAGTCATCTAACATTTATGTGCCAGACAATGGGCTAAGCATTTTCTATGCATTATCTGGTTAAATTTAGACCCCTGCAATGGTCTTTGAGGTGGGTGGCCCTGTCTCCACTTTAGAGACAAGGAACTGGAGACACAGAGGGGTTAAGTAGCTGGCCCACGTGAACCCAGGCAGGTCGTGGAGGAGCCAAGTCTCAAACCTGGTTCAGCCCCTGAAGCCTGTGCCCTTGACCACTTGGGCCCGTGTAGGGTAATCAATCCGCCTACAGAGCATGGGCCGCCCCAGGAGTGGCGGGGCCAGCCTGTGTGCTCGGGGCAAACCGAGTCGCCACTCTAGGCCCTCTTCTCTCCCTCCTTCCCTCCCACCCACGGTCAACACGGTCTCGTTTTCACCCGCCGGCATCCAGTCTTCCATTCCTACGCTTGCGTTTCGGGTCTGACCAAAAGTCGCCCCTTTTACCCAGTTCCCACACTAAAGACTATTATACTTTCTGAAAGGACTTGCTGCTGTCCTCTTGTCCTGAAGCCTGAATTCGGAGGACAGCAGTGACAAAGCCACGTGCTCTTGCTGACAGAGGTGGAAGCCTCCAGGTGGCAGGCAGAGCCATCTTTCTCCCTAGGGTCCCTTATCTTCTCTGTGTCTCAGGTGCCCCGCAGGCCAAAGAGGAAGGCCCCCCCGGTTTGCACCAGGTGGGCGACTGTGCAAAATAAAAAGTGCACCTCTCAGTAGCTGTGTTTTATTACATGGAGTTTGTATTAACAGTTAACTGGAGATGAATGACGATAATTCAACAATAAAAAAGTGTACTTCTTAAGTGCCGTAAAGTAACATAGAATCTAAAAAGACAACAAAAAGATCCAGTTGGGGATGGAGTATGGGTCCGCAGCAGGGCCCACGGGAGATGCAGAGCACAGACAGGCGACCAGGCCCACCAGGCTCAATACCCAAACAGTTAGCGGCCATTCATGTCACTCTGACCAGATGCCTGAGGGAGCTGGGCCTTTCTCTTAGGTGTGAAACTTTCATTTTCCTTACAAGCATCTGATTCTACTGCAAACGATTAAGCTTCTCCTTTCCTTTTTAAGAGGTGCATTTTAACTTGTCTCCTCCTGCCGCCCCCAGTGCAATGACAACAGTTTCCCGAACCTTCCTGGTGGTAAAAAACACCTGGGGTGAGCGCCCTGGATAGAGCTCAGGGGAGCTAAGGGCCCGGTCATCTTTCCTTGACACAAGTGTCCAAGGTCATGCTTATGAATGGACACACCCGAGCAGAACCGCAGTAAGCAATACACGCATTATAAACTACTCAGAAAACCCAGAGAAGGAAAAGAATCATCCCCAGTTCTACAAGCACTGGGAACAGTTGCTAAATTTCCTTTACATATATTCTTTTTTCTCTGCATAATGTTTTTACGTGGTTATGCTCAATTACATATTCAGTTCTGCAATCTGCTTTTACCACCTAACATGAAAATACATAAGCTTGTATTTTTAAAAGAGGACCATAACATTCATGGTCATTTTAAATTTTAAAAGAAGCCAAAACCCTTTTCTGGGGATATTCATTCATTTAATTTCATCCCTTTACTGTATGTTTGTGATTTTTTAACAAAAGAAACTTTAAACAAAAGAGTCTATGTAGCTGTTGACTTTGAACAGTTAACAGTTACATAAATGAATCCAGAACATGGGGTTATTAAGCTATGAGTACGTAATTAAATAAAAAAATAAGGAAAATACTTACTATGCACCAGACGACAAAGGAAATTTCAAACTTGTGAGGGAAACTAAAAATGGACAGGCCAAGAAATGCAAACACACATGTTTCTGAAACAAACCAAAGAATGGATTATTCAGCCCCAACTACTTCTTCCAATACAGTACTAAGCTGTTAAACAAACAAATGTTCACAAGTCAGTCAGAATCCAATATAAAATTTTGCTTATTTTCTGGAACATCCTGCAACCAATACCTGGTGAAACTTGTCCTACGATTCTCTCATTCTTTTCTATCACACAAGCAGCATGTGCTTGATGCTCACAATCTCCTAATTTAATGAGGCAACTGTCAAATACTCATGCAAATTAGCACTCAGTCCATTTGCTGAGCACTGATTAGCAAGGATCCCAACTGCCGGCAAAGTGGCAAAAATTCCAAGCCAGTGGCTGCAGGTGCCACATGGTTAGCATGAAAGGGCCCTCTGTTGTCTTCCTTGCCAGAGCAGACCAAGCCAAGTGACTGACCTCCTGTACTTAATGCCACCGCAGGTTTAGAAGATGGCTCACTCCCTGCAGGGTTTGCAGGAAGAGATACATTTCTGGCCCTTGGCTTTACTCCACAAGTCAGAGCTGAACACTGATGCTTGTACAAGCAGTTGAGGTGTTATCATAAGGAAAAGCACCTTATACGTTTCCGGCACTAGATCCCTGCTTAAACTGTGACATCCCCCCGAACAGCTTCATCACCAGGGAGAAAAGACTATTTTAAAATAGTTGAACATCATAATACAGGGAGGCTGTTTTAAAAACAGTCTGGTCCTGTTTTTTCCTTCAAATGTGTATCCTTTTAAAACAAGTCACAAGCTGGACAGTAGATCCACTCCTCTCCCCCTTGAACTTTTTTCAGATCCATTAAATAGTATTTGTGATCTTTTCAAACCAGTACATTTAGAACACACTGCAATCTATGTTATGCTTTTCTTTGCCAGCATAAATCCTATACAGGGTGAGGCAAAAGTAGGTTTACATGAAACAGTTTTTTCTTGTATTATTATTTATTATTGTATTATTTTTCCATATGAACAATTGTAAACCTATTTTTGTCCAACCTTGTATGAGTATGTCATGATTAATGAATCCTTGGTTGATGCTTATTTTGACTGTTTCTATTTCTAATACCACAAACTACAACAAGCATCATAATTTTGCACAGGCAAAATCGCTGGTGGTAGAATTGTGGGTCAAAGAGCATGTGCCTTTTAAATTCAGAAATGCTGCGCAAGACTCTCCAAGAAATGGCATCAACAGACACGCCCATCAACAGGGCCTGTTTTCTATACACCTGTGTTGGAAGTGGATGTTATCAAACTTAAAATGCACTGATCTGACGGGTACCAAGCAGAATTTGATGGAGTTTTGCCTTATATCCTTTAACTGAGAGCCAAGGTCAGGGTCTTTAGCCATGACTTCCCAAGAGGGGCACTGTGGAAAAATTACCCACGGGAACACAAGAGACAGACCCGGCTTCAGTCACTTCTGAGCCATTCGCCTGTGGACAAGTCATTTGACGTGTTGACACATAAGCCTCCTCACCCATGGAATGACGTCCCTGCACAGCCTGCCCCTGCCCTCTAGCATGGGACAGTGTGGGACTCATGCTTCAAACTGAGACCAGCCCCGCTGAAATACTGGGGAGACGCCGATGGTGGCAGCTCGGGCACCAGTGCGAAGGGACAGTGCGAGAGCGGCTCCTTCACTCTCGAGTGTAAACTAGGGAGGAGGTACGTGTGGGGGGGGCAGCCACCCTGGTGTGCCCCAGCTCCCAGCTTGGGGAGGCATAACATCAGTACCTCCCCAAGTTATGTCTTTCAGGGGTCCCGTGGACCAGTTTGGGAATGCTGCAACTGTATTTCTCTCGGAAATTCACAATGCACGCTAGCTGAAAGGTCTTGCAGTTCAGGAACATGTTAAACTTTCCTTACCCCAAACTCTTGTTTTTGACCATGGAGTCTTTATTCACCTAACTCTCATCAATATCAGTTCCAAAGAGAACATTTTTGGAAATGTCACTTTAATACATTAAAATGCATGAGCCTCAAATGTTCATAATTAATAGTTCTCATTATTTTTGGTTTTAAAATTGTAGGCATGAAATATTCCATTTATTAGACATTAGGTTTACTTTATGGACTCCTGAAAGCCAGAGTTAACAAACAGAAGATGAGGGAGTGTATTTTCTGGCTCTGAGGGGTCCTACTGCCTCTTCTGCCAGGACGAATCTCACCTCCTAAAACAGTGCTAAGAGGAACAATCAGCTGTGGGCAGGCCCGCACCAGACCCCTGAGCAGCAGAACTCACCGCACAAGAAGGCCACGGTCCGGAGGGTTTGCTGCATGAGGATCTGGGTGACCGGGGACAGGTTATGGTGCGTGTAGTGGGACATCACGATGCCTGAGAACAGGATGGCCATGATGCCTGCAGAGGGACAAGGGGGCAAAGCGCCCCGACATGAGGAGAGCGGAAGAGCACCTACCACATGACTCACAAATAACATGCCACACACTTCCTACAAGTCCCTGGAGCCTATAATATTAGGTTATAATATCAGGGGGGAAAAAAAGATAGAAAGAAAATATTACCTGAGGTCCCCCAGAGGCTATAGAGAAATGCTAAAGGCCCCCTGTCTGGGAGCTGCGTCACTGGAGGGCAGACTTGGGCCAAGTCCCCTGCCTCGCACTCCCCCAAGCGTCAGCTTTCTCGTCGGGACAGCAGGGCGACAACACCTACTCCTGAGCTGTTAGAAGGGTTGTGAAGACTAGCCAAGCAGAGTGCTCATCACAGGACAGGTGTGGGATGTCACTATCATCCAAAGACAGAAGGAGGGCAGATGGGCCCCGCCGGGACAGAAAGTGTAAGAATGTGGGTAGATTTTAATTTACTTTTTAATACTTCCCTTAGTTTTGAGTTTCCCTGCAATCACCATGAAATACTCATAATATAGAGAGGGGTGTAAGAACATGCAGGGCCTTTTCCGTAAAGCTCTCCCCGAGAGTCCACAACTTTTGCCGTTTGCTGAGGTTTCCGTCTCCATGCTGGGCCGCTGCCCCCATCGCTGCTGAAGTACTTTACGCAGGTGTCCTCTCAGCGCCTCCCTGTCTACAGTCTCTATTTCATGCAAGGAAGCTGTGGCACTTTTTATAACATTGCTAAATAAGCAAAAATATATGAACTGCAAGTTAGACTTTGTAAGCAAAATGTTAACCCCTTCTGTTGCTTTGTAGAAACATTACTTGTGAACTTTCCATTTATAAAAGGATGAAAATTCACAGAACTGTATCGGAGATATTTCAGCGGCTAAGCTTGCTGTATAAACAATATTAAGATGTAGGAAGACCCTACTCTTTCGCCCAAAAGGCATTTGCTGGCCCGAGTGATGGCAGAGGCTGGAACGTTTTATCTCAGCAAACAGCACATTCTTTGCTCTGTCATTTTCCCATGCGGTGGAGGCTGGGCAGGGACATCCCCGCAATGCTGCCCACGAGCCACACTGCCGAGGCAGGGGAAGGGGAAGCAGCAGGCAAGAGGCCTCTGCACTTGCTGCTGCAGAGCACCGAGAAGACTCTAGCTCAAGAGCCACCCGGAACCACTGTGCCGCGAGAAGAAACACACACACACACGACAACAAGCCTTTGGTGGCTCTCTCCTATGTTCCGGCAGGCGACCACCCCGAGAGCTGACCCTTCCTGACCCTGCAACAAACCATCAGGAGGTAAAGCAGAGGGAGCTGGCAGAGGAGAGAGGACCCAGGTCTGGAGCTCAGTGGACGCTGGAGGAGGAGAACAGGGCAGGACAGACTTCTGTTCTTATGCACTTGGCCTTGTGCACCGCAGGCCAATGCGGACAGGTGCTGGTGCCTGGGCTTTCAGGGACTTTGTTTCGCCAGCCTGGTTTGAGAAGGGTTAGCCATTCACGGGCAAAGCTGAGACTTCGGGGTTCTTACCTTGAAGTAAAAGTCACCCAAGAAGAGCTTGTGTCCCGTTTAAGTTGTGACACGAATGGCCTTCTACCCATACTGCTGTCCTTGCCCATAGAGACACCGTGTCACAGCCCATGGGAATCCTGACATTAAACAAGCACTCCAGAAAACAGGGGCCAGACAATAAAAGTAAAAACAAAGAATGGGTGAGCGGCCCGTGGGCGAAGAAGGCACAAACAAGCCCATCTACAAAGGGCGGCCCTGTGCATGGGGCCTCGGGCTGACTGGCCTTCCTTCTGGTTTTCTGAGAGATGCCAGATGTGGTTTATTTTTGTTTGTTTTTAAGATTTTATTTATTTACTTTTAGAGAGAGGAAAAGAGAGGGAGAGAAACATCAATGTACACGAGATACATTAATTGGTTGCCTCTCCCATGCCCCCAACTGGGGACCTGGCCTGCAACCCAGGTACCTGCCTTAGACTGGGAATCAAACCAGCAAAACCTTTCCGTTCACACCGGCGCTCAATCCACTGAGCCCCACCAGCCAGGGCCAGATACCTGTTTCTTATAGGAAATCTGCTAACGTAATGATGTAACTAATTCAAATGTTTAAAATTTTTCTGTATAAATAAACTCATCTGGGAGCTGAATTTATTGATGGCAACTAATTCAAATGTTTAAAAATGTTTTGTGTGTAGATAAACAAGCTCTATCTGGGGGATGCAATTAGACCACATGAAAATGGGCCTCTGGCCAAGCCCCCACCTTTACCCCGGGCCAGTGTGGGGTCAGGGTATCTCTGAGTTCTAGCGGCTGAAGGAAAGAGTCATGGTCAGCAGTGGGTGCAAAAGCCTGAGGGGCTGCTCAAGTGTCTGCCTTCTGTGTCCTCCCTAAGCCAAAGGTGGCTTCTCCGTCCCCCAGACCCCGCCCATCCTCTGTAGCTGCCACCTGCACAGGCTGTAAAAACACTGTCGGACGAAATGACGCAAGCAGGCCCACTCCTAGAGCTAAAAATGCCCGGTAAGGAAGACTTCCTGACACATTTCTTTTAGAAGGAAAACTCATTTAAGGAGGCAAATAGGAGTGTAGCAAGACGGTCAGCCTCTTGGAAGGGAGGAAGGAAGGGAGGAACTCCATTTCCAGTCTCAGCTAAACCCACTGTTTTGTATGTAATAAGGAATAAAGTGAAGGGATTCAAGTCCAAAGGCGGACACTGAAGGGCAGCATGGTGCAGTTCCACGGTATTGGATCTTCCTGCAGGTCAAATACAGTGTACGTCTTGAAGGCTGAGTCAAACCATAGTCAGTTTTCCTTGTTAATTACCCAGTACTAAATATATTTTGCTATAAAGTACCCAAGCTCAGAGGTATAAAGCAAGAGAAACTTCACCTGCCCAGAGGTTAACTACTATTAACAGTTTGATAGATTGCCAGTTCTTTCACTGTGCCATTATAAAGTTTATCTACCTTTAAAAAGTAATAAACAGGATCCAATTAGATATATGGCATGTATTTCTAGCACAGCGATTTTTCAAAGGCCCCCAAATGTGCCTTTGCGCAATTAGCAGACTCCCACCTCCTTCCCAGGCCTGTAGAACCCTCGGTGGGCCAAGGTCCTTGCCCCTCGGTCCCAGCCATGTGGCCTTCCTGCTCTTCTGGAGCCTGCCTAGCTCCCTCCCTCCTATCTGGGACCCTTAGCACCCACCGCTCCTGCTGCCAAACACCCTTCCCCAGGCCCACCCAGGGCTGGCTCCTTTCCTCCACCAGGTCTTGGCTCACAGCCACCCCCTCAAGGAGCCCTTCCAACCCGTCTCGTGATGCTTCCGCGCCCCCCCGCCCCGCCCACTGTCCACACGTTCCTCCTTCTTCGTATCATCTCTCACTGCCTGAGATGATGGTGTGTGTCTGCTCGTTCGTGCACTGCCTGTCTGCTGCAGGCGGGAGCTTGACCTTGTCTTGTTTATTATTGCAGCCCCAATACCAAGGACGGAGCTTGGCACACAGTGGGTATTTAATACTCACTGAATGGATGAATGAATGGTGACTTTCTTCAAATTTAGTAATATATTTTGGAGTGGCAGTACAAATAGGACAAAGTCATGTTTTAAGCGGCTGCCGGGTACGCCGCAGTGAGAACGGACCGAGACTGACTGAACCGGCCGAACACAGAGCTGCGCACAGCTTTTCTCCTGCAGGCCGCGCCGCAGAGGAATTCCTTGGACATGGGTCCGTGCACATGAGCGCCCTGTGATGCATTCTGTCATTGGCCAACACGTTCCCTACTTTTATAGAAAGTGTTATCTCCTGAAAGTTCCACCCTCTGTGACTCACCTCGACGGAGTGTGGCTCTGCCCCAGTTCCCCTCCTCAGCCCAGAGCTGGGCCACCTGGCAAGGGGCGGGGCTGCGCATCTTTGGCCCTTCAGAGCCAGAGGGCAAAGCAGCCCTCAAAACTGGCTTGAATGAAAAATAGAAATAGGTTGCGTTGATAGAATTAGAACAGAGACCCTGAGAATAGCTACTGCTTCCAAGTAATAATTAGGGAGACTATTTAATTTGCTGTTGAAACCAGGACACTTGTGAGTGACAGGGGGAGCTGTAAGTTTATCGTGATGGGACGAAGGGAGAAACCGCCCTAGTGATGTCGCGCGTCGATGCCGCTGTCAGGACCCTTACTTCTGTCTCTCCCTTCAGTGCTCCCCACAAGGCTGAGGGTGGCCCTTTTATTACATGAGGACGTGAATATGCTCAGAGTGGCTACGTCTCCTGTCTGAGGTTCCTCGGCTACTGCTGAGAGGTGGAGATGGGCTTCAAACCCAGGTCAGCCCACTGTGCTCTAAACACGTGACTTAGGTGGGAGACTGGCAGGGAGAGCATGCCCTGCTCAGTGGTCATGGGGACCACTGCCCATCAGTCCTTTGCGAGAGTCAGGAAGAGCAGAGCACAAAAGGGAAGGAGGAGAGAGCAAAACCCTCCCCTTTCCCGTTCATGCTCTTACAGGGGACGTGCACAACATGCCAGGGCCACCTCCCCTTCTCTGAAAACGGTGTGACAGAGGCCCCAACGGCCCCGACGTGGGCCACGTGTTCCCGGCGGGCCTGTGCTATCTTTGGCCCCACCCGGGTGACCTGCAGAGGTCCTCAAGGAAATGAAACCCCTACCGACAGAAAACACTGCCTCTCTGAAGAAAATACAAGAAAAATACCGCCTTGTTTTAATCACAAATTCCAAATGGATGTATAAAATATAGCCTTGCCATTGGGTACTTGATGTTCTCAGCTCAAGGGGTGGGAGCAACCTGGAAAAACAGAGGTAAAAATAGCAAGGCTAGAGCCAAATGACTCACGGGCAATGTTTATGTAAGCACCAAAATTCAGGAACCATAAGAGAAAAAACCTGATGCAGGTACTGGGATGAAACTTCCCAAAAAACTGGCTTGGGGTTTAAAAAAACAAAACAAAACAACAACAAAAAAGCCCGGACGTTTACAACGAGCTCTCCGGTGCCAATGGCCGGAGTCCTCTCTGCTTTCCCCTTGGCAAGGGCTGCGCACAGAGCACCCACATGCGGTTCCCGAAAGCCACCTGTGGGCAGAATGCGGCTCAAAGGGGACGCTGAAAACCGCTGGGGACTTCCACTTTGCCTGTGAAGAAATAATTGCTACCCAAACTGCTGTCCTGCCATAGACAACTAGAAAATCTGGAAAAAGATACTAAATAAAACTGTCTTCTGACAGTGGGTGCCGGGCAGGGTGGGACTGCGATTCCTGATAGAAGGGAAACAAACAAGGTGGCCAATCCTGCTCCAGGCCCCGGCCCAGGTCACTGCCTGGGCGTAGTTTCCCGGCTGAGGCTCAGAGAGGGGAACCCCAAGCCCAGCCCAGCGACCTGAGTCCGGCTGAGAAGAGGAGACAAAGGGCGGGAGGGGGACAACGCAGCTGGGATGCCGGCGAGGAGAAGCTATGCAGGTAACCGAAAGAGAGCTCCTGAGAGCTGGTCGAATCCTCTTGCATCTTGGACTGACACCGACCTGTGCACGCGCGGGTGAGCTTCCGAGAGGCTGGGAGAGAATCGCCGCAGAGGAACAGGCTGAGCACTTCCCGAAGCACGTGCAAGGCTGGGGACAGTTCGCGCTCCCACAGGCCAGAGTGAGCAACCTCGTAATACGCGGGACGTAAGGCAGAGTCCTTGCAGGGGCAGCGCGTCAGTTCCTAATGCTACCCTGGACCTTCTCTGACAAAGTTTAAAAGTCAACCTCAAAGGGGCTGATTCCAGGAAACTTAGATGGACAGCAGAAGAAAATCCCAAACTCTATGAAGAATGTACTAAAATCTAATAATCAACAACATAATCAAGTTCACAATGACTGGTATCCAGTCAAAAATTAGGCAGGCAAACAGCAGCAATATATGATGTATAAACAGGAAAAAATTAATCAATAGAAACAGACTAGAAAAGACAGAGATGATGGAATTAGCAAGCAAGGACATTAAAATAGCCATTATAACTATGTTCCATGTGCACCAGGATGTAGAGACAATGATGCATATGATACATGCAAAAACACGTTGTTGCTCAAAAACATGATGATAACTGAAAGACATAAGACACCAATAACCGATTACTACGTGACTTCACTCAGATGAAATTCTGGAAAAAGAAAACTAGTGACAGAATGCAGCTCTGTGGGCGCCAGGGCTTCGGGAGGAAGGACCTTCAGAACCCTTGTTCTCGGAAAGAGGCAACACCGAAGTGACGTTGTGATCGCTGCCACAGGATGGTCGGTAAAGTGGAAAGGCGACTGTGACAACCCTGAGGCCCCGGGCCCAGCCAGGTCTGAATCCACGTGTATCTCTGGGGGACCAGTAGATTCCCTTTGTAGCTTAAGCTCTTCTGAGTTATGACTGTCTCTTATGGTTGCAAGTGACCGGGCTGACATAACCTCTCTCGCCAGGCGGGACAGCACGCCACCACCCAGCACTTCAATGCTCTCGTTCACTTACCCGAGAGTGAGATTCCTTCCGCGAGCCCATAAGGAAGGTACGCAAAAATGATCATCATGCCGAACTCCAAGGAAGGCGTTTTCCTCAAGTCAATGTGCTTGAGCACGTAAATGACAGTTGTCAAGGAAAAAGAACCAAGGGACCGTTGATGGGAGACCTAGTGAAGTCACAAAATGGCTGCCTTCAAAAATACCTACGTGAAACACTGGATATAAAAGATTCTGGAACATTCCGAGGTAACAAATGAAAACCTGCCATCCTGGATTTATTTTTCTTTGCAGGGAGACTGTACTTTGAAGAAAGAGAATCTGACAAAACTAAGAGATGTAAATTCCTGAGACCAATGCTGGGGGGAAATTAAAATCAACCTGAGTCAGCTCATTTTAAAACGCTGACCTGGAAGGCTGGGAATGTGCCAGGGCAGGGGGAGGGGCAAGGCGGGGCTGCAGACGGACTGAGGACAGCCCACACTGCCAGGGCCCTTCCAGGGCCTCGTCCTCTTTCAGCTCCTCCTCCTCCATCAGGTAAGATGAACTAATGGGGTTTCTGGAACTCGGGTTCAATGCCCCACCGGAGGGCCACCTTTCCTATTCCCGAGGGCATCCAAACTCGTGCTCCCGGAAAAGGAGTCTCCTCTGTCTTCCAGCACCATGCCCATGCCCATGCCCATGCCCATGCCCTTGCCCATGCCCTTGCCCATGCCCATGCCCTTGCCCATGCCCATGCCCATGCCCATGCCCTTGCCCATGCCCAAGCCCATGCCCATGCCCTTGCCGGGGCTCGCAGCACCCATTCACCTGGCCCCACGGCAGTGGGTGCTCCCCCGCCTTGTATGAAAAAGATAAATATGGAGGGAAGTACTAAGCTGGAGAAAGTTTTCTTTTCTATCCCGTTTATTGGTACAATATGAGAAGCTGTCAACCAAGCCCACGGAGCATTTAGACTTCTGGACATAGGAGTCGAAGGGAAACTTCAACAGGATGGCAGATAAACATGCCTGTCACAGGCAAAAGAGGCTTTTCCGGCCATCTGGGAGACAAACTGCTCATGGGGGAGGGCCAGGTGGCCCTCTCTCTGAGACGCAGACTTCGGCTGGCCCAGAAATGTCGGGTGCCTATTCTTGTCATGGCCATGATGAGTTTTCTACGGCAATAAAAGTGTCATTGGCCTTCACAGGCCTTTCTCCTTCTCTGGCTGGAAAAGCTTATGGGTTGTTCAGCAAGAAAATCAGTGCAAATAACTTAGATGAGCTCACTTTCAAAGTCTCTATTCTGGTCCCTCCAGATAAACACTTCCAGATTTTCTCAATTTGATATTTTCAAATGAAATTAATTTCCAATTTTTTGAATGTGAAAAGTGAGACAGCAGAAAATGAAAATCATCTGAATGCGGTTTTCATACTGTAGGAACCAAGATCCTCCCAAATCAGATCTGATGTCCAACAGTATACGTGTTTTTTAAGCTTTAAAAAGTGACATCCTAAATTTCACATGTTATATTTAAAAATCTTTGCATTTAATTAAAGTGCTCCTCAAACCAAAGCTAAGGATAAAAATCCTCCATCACACACAACCTCAGACTGGAGCTGGTTCCCTTAAGGAACCGGAGAAAATGGCTGGAGAGGGAGGTAATTAAGAATAATCTCCTCGTCCTTGCAGGGCCATCATATTAAAAGGATATTAAGGCAGAGATCAAGCCAGTGAGAGTGCCGAGCGCTGCGGAGCCAAAGAACATTTTGAGGAAGTAGCCGAGGGCTTGTAAAAATGTTTGCCACCCACTGACATCTGACATATTTTTTCTTGTTAAACCTTCAGCTGTGCTAGGAAATAAAAGAAAAACAGAAAGAAGTTAAAATGTTACAGACTAAGCTATGAGACATTATTTTCAAACTCCAAGTTTTTTTCTTGATTCTGCTCTCATTCATTCGTTCCATCATTCAGTGAGTCACATGTGTTTGTTCGCCTGCTTTGTTCCAGGCACTGTGTCAGTTTCCAGGGGTTCCGAGCCGAGGGCCAGGTCCCTGCCCTTGAGGAGCTCCCCCAGTTTAATGCAATGGGAACTCATGATCATCTGGGGTGAGGGTAAAGGACTACGGGAACACAAAGTGGGCATCCAACTCAAGGGGGTTCTTCATGACATATAAGCTGGGTTTAGATTTAGGCTAAAAAACAATGAGGGAAAAGCACCTGGGCAGAGGGAACAGCATGTAAAGAGGCAGAGAGCCCGAGAACGCAAGCACATTCTGGGAACGTTCAGTTACAAAGCTTGGAATGGACAAAACACAGAAACAGAATTGGGGGCAGGGCACGCAGTGGGGAAGACAGAGGCAAGAGGTAAGGCCAGAGCAGCGGGCAGCTCAGGGCCTGCGAAAGGTTTTGATGAGCCAGGCTGAAGAGCTGCTACCCCACCCTGAGGGCCCTGGGAGCGCTTCCAGCATGGGGGGCGGGGGGTCCTGTGGTAAAACCTGAAATTGAGGCGATGGCGTAAAGTCAGGTTAGAATGGAGCCACATAAACGAGAACCGCCATTGGGTACAGCCAGAGAGGGTGGATTTAGGAGGCATTAAGAGGAAGAATTGAAAGAACTTTCTTTTGACATTAACAGAACAAAGTAAAACTGTCAGAAGCCATTAAATTCAATTATTGGTTTTATCCCCAAAGGGAAAACCATTATACCATTAAAATGGAGTTATTCTCACTAAATATCCTCCTCTTGCAGTCTCATTCTGCCTTCAGACCATCTCTTCAATCCATGCACTTCTCTCCCCTCCTGCCCTACTATGCTGCCCCTGGGTTTATGCCTCACTGGTCTCTAAAGACCTCCCTGTCTTCCCAGGGATCAACCCGTTCTCCATTCAGTGGCCTGAATGATCCTCACAAATTAAACGCACATCTGGCCAGGTTATTGGCCTGTTCAAGACCCATCAACAGTGTTTCTGCTGCTTTCCAGGAGGAAGCCTAGTCTTAGCACAACTTTGTTATCATTGGGATTCTTGGGTTCCCCAAAATAGTAATTGAGAGGAAACCTCAGAGAAACTTCCAGACAGATTTTATTAAGTTCTCTCAAGCACAAGGAGGCAGCACAGGGGAAAGGACGGTCCCCTCAACTGGCTGAAGACTGGCGTTGCTCGGCTGCTTTTATAAGCTGGGGACAAAGTGGGCTTGCTCAAAAAAGGTGGGCTTGCACAATTTTCCATTTCAGGGTTGGGTGACTTCTTTCCCCTGCTGCACTGCCTGTTAACTGCATTCACGCCTGCGCTGTGGGGGCAAGATGGCGGACCCCTCAGAATGTTGCGCCTCAGTCAAACCTTGGTCAACTGCGCATGCGGGTCAGTAGTTTAAGCAGGCAGTTAGGAGGGAGATAACATCAGCTACTTCTGTGTTTTTGAGTAGGGAGTGGAAGGGTGGTGACATTTTTGAGTTCCTTCTAGTCACCTGGTCTTAGCTGCACTTCCTGGCCAGCCAGTATTTCCCATTCCTGGGCACAAGTCCCTGTGTTGTTTCAACCTGACTCCTCTCCCTGCCCCAATTCTTGATCCCGTCTCCGCCTCATTCAGGGTAGGCCCTGCGGTCACTGGCACCTCCTTGTAGTCACCTTTCACTCCTCTCTGGCCCCCACTAACTTGCCAGTTTGTCTTTCAGGACCCACGGTCAGTGTTAACTTCCTCCGGGACACCAGCCCTGAGCCCTGAGACCTTCGCACAGACTACTTCACAGCCTCTCCTCCTGCCTGCTTCCTCCACAGCAGTGGAAAACTAATCGATCAGTCCGTGGGGACCAATCCTGTTCAACTGCCATATGTCCAGGGCCTACGACAGAGCGTAACACCCAGAAGACACCCAATAAACTTTTGCTGAATCAGTAAACAAAGCAAAGAATCGTCAGTGGTCATATTCGGTTTCATTACTTAGCATTACATTAATTGGTATAATTATAAAGCCAGATAATCTCTGAAAAAGGAGTAGCTTGACCAAACAACCTTAGGAAGTCTTTCATGGGGCTTCACTGTACAACGTAACACAAGGTTCTACAAAGTCCTGCAAGGAAAAGATCTTTTTTCACCCAAGTGTTCTCCAAACTCACTTCAACACACCCTCTCCCCAACTCCCTTTCTTTCCGAGTAGATCACAGGCTAACATCCCACCTTGGGGAATGCTGGGATCCAACAAGGCTCTTACAGGGAAAGTGCTTATGAAGGCTAAGATCACCCAGAGTTCCCCGGTAACCTGGGGACCACAAGCACAGTGTCTCGCCCAGCCCTGACGGCTCCCTCTGCTGGTATACTGGTTAGTGCCACTGCTTGCTTCTTAGGCAGAGAAGGCTTAGGCCAATGGTTTCTGAACTCAATATAAATGAAAGCAGAATCTGGACTCTTTCTGGCCTGGTGATTTTCTACATTTTATTTTTTCCAGGTCATGTTTCTCACACCTTATGAATATAAGACAATGATGCTCCAGGATCCATTTCATGAGCTTACGCTGAAGCTGGAGAGAACAAAGGTTTCCTCTACAGTAGTTATTTTAAGAATAAATTGTCATAGCAACAAATCGAAGCTAAAAATAATTTAATTAAAGTTAATGAAGAAACAGAAGATACTGAGCTTTCTGGCACTTATGAAAGTGAAAACATTAAAAAAAAGGGCTAATTCATTCTTATATTGAGTTGCAAAGAAAAATGTGCCAAGTCACTTCAAAAATGATCATTTATGAAGTAAAAACAAGACGTGATTCTACCTTATAACCAAGGAAAGCTGACAACAGCTCCCTCCTGCAATGCAAGAAAAAGGGCAGGCGTCCCACGCCTCTTGTCCCCCGATCTCCCTTCTCTACCTGAAAACGCCTGCAGACGCACAGGCAGCTCGCCCGGGAGCCTCGGGCGAATCCTTCACAGAGACTGTCTCCTGCCTGCTCCACGGAGCTCGCTCTCTGTGGGCATCTTTCTCTCACCTTGGATTGGGTCTGTCAAGTCCACCCGGTCTCTGAACCACGTCTGGACCATAGAGGGCTCTCACCAAATGCTGATGGTGGACGGCCAGCCGACAGCGTGTCTGGAGAGTCAGGGAGGCCGGACGCGGCTTAGGGCGGTGACTCCCACCCCGGCCTGTGTCCCAGTAGTGGTGGGAACTATACAGGCATGTGGTCCACAGATCCAGTCTGGGGAACTGTCGTTCATAGGTGATCTTGGCCTTCAAAAGCACTTTTGCAGGAAGCACCTTTGGCTGGTTATAATGAATGACTCCATCGTTTCTCATTTTAAAAAGAAAACATCTCCTAATCTTTGGCCTTTTTGTGGCAAAGAGACCTAGAAAAGCTCAGAAAAGGTCCTACTTCTAATTTTTAAAAACAAAATAAATTAAGAGACAAAGCAATTGAGTTTAGCTCCTCATGTATAAAAAAAACTCATGATGTCACCTCCAATTTGGGCAAAATTCCTTATCACAAATGTTCAATATATGCAGCCAGGATGAGATCGAAGTCAAAACCGGAAAGCTAAGAAGCTTTCAGACTAGATCTTAAGAAAAAATATAGGCAACCAATTCTTAAAGGTCTTATAGTATCATGTGTGAGAATTTCCTAATAAAGCTACAGAAATTTTTATCAAGAGAAATGTGAAACAACCAATAACAGGGTAAAATGATGTTATAGATTATTTTATCACCTCTGTTCAATGGAAAAGCTACAATACAGTATGGGGGATGTAACCTCATCTAAATAAAATATATGTACACTTCTACCAAATTGTTAACTGTAATTATGTCTGGGTAACAATGCATGTAATCTTTCTTTCTTTATTTCTGCTTGCGTGTATTCTAAATTTCATAGGAATAATATATGTATTACTTCCAGAATAACAAAAATATTTCAAAGTTTGTTTTGTTTAGGTTTGCTGAGCACCTCTTACAATAGGCACCCTTTGGCAAGTTCCTCCTACAAAAGTAGAGTGCAAACAGAGCAAAGAGTGAAGCAGTGGCGGGGGCGGGCGGGGAGAGGAAAGGGTCACGGATGCCTTCCACATGGCACTGCACTTCACTCAATCCGCAGACCCTGTCCTAGGTGGAGGGGCTACCGCCCTCACAGCTGCCCCACAGCCACCGACGGAGAAGCCGCGGCCCAGAGAGGAGAAGGGGCCGGCCCAGGATCGCGCGGCTGCGCGAGGTGTTGTCAGGTAGGGCAGGCAGGAGCAGGGAAACTGACTCGGCAGTCCCGAGCCTGGTCCCGAGCCTGGTCCGATAGGGCTGCCCGGCCTTCCAACACCACAGCAGGGATGGCGCAGGAGGGGAGTCCTTGGGACTCCGTGCTGGGAAACAGAGCCTCCGGAACAATTTCACTGACTAAGACAGAGAGCCTTTACTAACAGAAAGAAAACCTTTGTAGCTGTACTTTATTCCCAAGGTTTAGAAGGGGAAGAAGGAGGAGGAACCTAGAAACTGACTAAGATGTATAACCACTGAACCCCAATAGTCTTTGCACTCAGATCAGCTGGAGGTCTGCTTGTAGCCTCAAGCTCAAGTGTATGAAACAAACTTACTAACAAACTTACTAGCAACTTTATTTCCTCCATGCCTGGTGCGTGCAGACTAGCCTGGTGCCTGCTTGCAGCTTTGCTCTAGTAGGGGTTTCATAAATAAACTGCAATCTCGTTTCCACTACTCGGTGTTACCTTTCACTTGAATTCTTCTCTTGCTAGAGGCAAAAACGGAGGAACAACTTTGGGGGGCGGGGCCCTGCCTGGGGTCTCTCCCAGGGAACAGCATCACCAGGACTCGCTGCCTGACTCCAAAATCTGGGATCTTTCCTCCGTAAAACATCCTTTTAGTCCAGTGTAAGAATTCTGAATGTCATCTATGATAAAGCTTTTAAGAAAATGCTAATTACCGCAGAATGTTATGCTTAGCAAGGAAGCTGGAGACAAAGGAAACAAGTCAGAATTCAGATCACGGAAATTCTACTCTCCAACAGGACACTGACTGACTCCTAAAAATCTCTTGGCTCATCAAATCACACACTCTTTTCTCCAACTGCTTTGATCGTTGCACCTTTTCTGTTTTTTGGCAAAACTGTTTGGCTCTCTTGCCCGCATAAGCTAATGAACATCACAAAATGCAGAGTTCAGGGATGAACACATTTGATATTATCTTGAATTCCTTTCCTTTTCCCAATGCCACCTTGTGATTCACCTTTAATTTCTCAGATGTTATCAACAAGGGCAGTCATACCAATGAACAATTAAAAAAGATCTGCGGCTTCCAAAGTGGCTTTCACCCAATGGCACCTTAAGGAGGGAGCCTGTAACCATCGCTACCTTCCTTTACAGCTGCGAAAAGGAAGGCGGCCTGACCCAGCTCCCAAGCGGGGCAGCGAGGCCTGTTTACTGTTGCCTGCAGCCAGCACAGTCCACACACTGATCCGTCAACAGGCCGCTCCATCATCGCCTGGGGAAATTATTAAAAACCGAAGTTCCCAGGACTCACCCTAGACCAGTCACTGGCACAGACGCCCTGAGGGAGGGGCACGGGAACACCACATTTAATAAGCACCCCCAGCGATGCCGATGAGAAGCTGCACTCGAAACTACTGCTAACAGGCAGGTCAAAAAAGGCGGATCACCCCGGACCTTGACAGTATTCTTGGGGCACGTCAAGGCTTGTCAGACAGAAAGACAGAGAGGCGGGGGGACCGACTGCCCAGAGGACAAGCAGCTGCACCAAAAGCTGCATGGAAACACCCGTCCTTTTGTTCCAAGGACCCTTAGTTTTGTCCCTTGCAGGCAGCACACTTACTTGGTCAAAACAATGGAGACTGCGTCGTTGAGAATACTCTCTCCAAAAACCAGCATGTTGAGCACTGGGTCCACATGAAGTGCGTTGAAAATAGCAATAGTAGCCACTGGATCAACAGCAGAAATTAGGGAGCCAAATGCAAAACTGTGAAGGGAACAGGAAGGGGAAATTCTGTAATGCTTCTCACTTGGCCCACATATCAAAGCATTAAAGCCAGGGACTGTGTTTGATACGACATAATAATACACCCACTGTAGCTGAAGAAATAACAGAAGTATTGTTTTCTTCTTATGATATAGGCAAACTGACGTTGTGGGTGGAGCAGTGAAGAGCCCACTCCAAAAAGAGTTGTGAGGAACGGCCTGGTTTCCCACTATACGTGTGAAGACTCTGTTGACCAGTGATGGGTGAAGACTTTGGCTTATATGCATTAGACTTCCCAGGCTTTTTGGTCAGAGCAGTTGGAACCATGATGGCTCAGGAGCCTCCCCAAAATGACCCATGGGCTGCTGGGTCTGAATTCTGCTTTGCCCCTCACCACCATCCGTGACGAACCCCAGCCTCCGTTCCTATTTGTAACATCTAAAAAAATGCCAAGAGCAGCAACGCTAGCGTGCCTCAGGGGAGGGTGGCTTGGCTGGCAGGCTCCCGCGCCAGGGCTGCCTCCTGCCAGGCCAGAGGCTCTCATCGATTGTGCCCCCGAAGGTCTCATTACCTCCGACAAGTATGTCTTAATGGCCTGACGTGTTTCAGGCACTGAGGCCAATAAGAACAGCACACGTTTATGTGCATTACCATGTCCCAGGCACTGCACGAAGCACTTTCCATATAGTAGCTCAATAATCCACCCAGCAACCGTACGAGATGTACTGTTATCGCCCCAATTACACAGGAGAAAGCTGAGGGGCAATGACATTAAGGAACTTGCCCAAGGTTGGACAGCTAACAAGGGGCAGAGCCAGGGTTCAAACACAGGCCTCAGGCTCAGAGTCAGTGCCCCTAACCACGACACTGGATATGGGGACAGCCAGTGGCTGAATCCAGTTCAGAAAACGACGTGTTCTACACAGGAAACCCGGGCGCTAGGGACAGAGTGAGCCTGAGGGGGGGGGCGGGTGCACAGACAGAGTGGGCGGTCGGGAAAGGCCTCTCCGAAGACACGGCACTTATCTGAACAAGGACCCGAACAAGATGCAGGTGGCCAGGCCGAGATCTCGTGGGAGTCAGCTTGGCCGCCGGAGAATCAAAAAGGGAGCGTGGCAGCTACGCAGTGAGGGCGAGGGCAGGAGACGGCAGAGGCAGGCGAGGAAAGCAGGGCCACATCGCCCCACGGGCCGGGTGGGCCGCCTGAGGAGCTGGGTGATTTGTCCTCTCAGCCGGCGTCTTTTCCTCCCTCAGTGTCCCTGCAAGCCTCCCATTCCCTCAAACCGCTATGCCCGGCGCTGCCTTCCTTCCTACGTCGGCAGAACGGTTCCATCTGCCCCTTTCTACGACACGAGGCCAAACACGAGCCCTGGAGGGAGGCTGTCTACCTCTGCCTCCCACCCTCGCCAGCTCGCAGTCTTGGGGGGAAGAGGGAGCCACTCGGCCTGGGGACGGAGTGTGCTCTGTCCCCTCTGCCAGCGCCAGCAGCCCTGCCCTCGGTGGCCACGGGGCTCCGGGCTCAGGGAGCGGGGTGCTGGCGTGGAGGGGCGCCAGTAACCAGGTGCACCCCTCTTCGGAAACCAGTAACCTGGCCTCAGATGCCCAGCACGGCTCTCTGCGAGCTCCGATTCCTGTGGGTTCTTGCAGCAGAGCCTGCTCACCTCAAGGAGGGGCTCCGGCTCCCGAGCTGAGGCCCGGACCCGAAAGACAGTCTCAGCTCAGACCCCAGTTCCCACTCTCCCTATCCTCACAGAAGTTGTCACGCGTACTATGAGCTGTGACTTTACCTGCCTCTAGCCTTCCTTGTGACTGCCAGGGGTGTGGGCACAATGTTTCAGTCGCGGGTATGGTCCCAGGACTGGTCCTGAGCACAGCCCCGAGAGATCTGTGGAAGGCAGGCAGTGGCAGAGAGGGAGGCAGGGACAGGTAACAAATGACTGCCAACCTGGGGGACCCCGTTTGGTCGGCAGCTGGCTGTGAGGCCCTCATGCTGCAAAATGGTAATTATAGACATGCGGGTGGGTGTCCACTGCACAATGGCCGCCTTTGCCGTGTTTCAGATTTTCATAGTAAAGGGTTGGGGGAAAATGCTTCGCGTAAGTTATACAGCTCAGTTAGCTTTGGCTGGGGATCTAAGCTGGGCTACAGCACTTCTGACAGCAATTATGGAAAGTCTGAAGTAGGAACTGCCCACATCATTAACAGGCCTTAAACTAAAGGGTCACATGACTTGCCTTCAGTTGCTCCACTTCACACCTTCATGTCCCAGTTTTTTAAAAGGTCAGAAGCTAGACTATCAACTTAAAATGGGTTTTCTTGATTCCATCACCTTAAAGAACAGCAACATCAGGAAAACAAACAGAGCCCTGGTCAGCATGGCTCAGGTGGGTGGGGGGTCGCCCCGCAGACCACCAGGTCGTGGGTTCAGCTTCCGGCTGGGGCACAGGCCTAGGGTGCGGGGTCAGACTGGGGCTTGTGTGGAAGGCAACTGACTGCTGTTTCTCTCTCTCTCCCTCCCGCCTCCCCTCCTCTCTCTCTAGACTCAATCGGCATGTCTTCAGATGAGATAAAAATGACAAAAAAGAAAACAAAAAGGGAACAGTCTAGGATGGTGAAATAATTCAGGGTGTATCTAGGAGTAAAGTACTTCTCCAGCAGAAATATCACTAAAATAAAATGCAACAGAGTTTTGGTTTCTTTTCTTCTTTTTTTAAAAATGTCTTCTCTAGTGCAGATGTCTGTGAGCCCCACCTTTCACCTGCATGGTGTTTTGAAAAACTGAGTAAATTTTCAACATTTAAAAACCAGGAAATTCCCTATTAAAATCTAAAAACCTGCCCTCTTTTGAGAAAAAAGTTTTAAAAAATACCTAGTAATTCTGGGCGCCTACCGGCAACTACTAGGTGAAGCTGAGGAGCGGCCGCGCCATCAGACAGGGCGCGCTCTCCGGTGCACGGTCCCCTCACGTGCACCTGGCCCGCTCCCCTCCGCCCATGGCAGGCCCTGCAGCTGCGCTGGTTGCCACCACTGGCTCATTTTCCCAGAACACACCCCACCTGCGGACAGTCACTTCCCAACAGGACACGGCACCTGTGCGGAGGAGGAAACTCTGCCTGGCTGTTACTCTGCTTGCCCCAGGAGCGATTCTTACTCCTCCCCCCCCACACCCCAACCACCGGTTCAGTTCAATTTTACTAGAATTTGCTGGGCATATTCTGTATCTCTGTACAGTTGCCCCCAAACAGGTTGAAGGACTGAAGGCTGTGACATCTTCCTGTACTTGGACTGGGTTTGGGGCATTTCTTTTCACTGGTAAACTGCCTACAAAATGCGAAACATCAGTTCTGGTTTATTTCCAGCTCCCTACAGAACAGGAATGTGACTTTTGCTACTCGTTTACATATCAAAACTATCTTACAACCAAAGCTCTAAAATTTATGCCCCTGAGAGAAAAATGAGATTGGACTTAATGTTATCAGAGGCACATTTCCCATGAAAAGGGCTCCAAGGTTCTAGGCCCCAAGCAGCTGCCAAAGGCTGAAAGCTCTGGCAGGCTGGATGGGAGGGACCCGGGGCTGAGCCATGCGGCAGAACCAAGTGCTGACGGTGGACCCAGGATCACAGAGAGCGGGGCTGCATCCTCGCTGGCCTCTTCAGAGAAAGGAAACCAGGCTGAACTCTGCTTGTGCACTTTTTCGGCACCAGATCTGGTACCTTCTGAGAGACAGCTAGCTGCCTAGGCCGCTTCTCGCTAAGCCAGTGACGAAAATTCCTGGCCCGGGCTCCTGGGCAGCAGCGGAGAGCTCACCGGAGTAGCGTCAGGAGGAGGAGGGCATCCGCGGGAGAGCCCTTGGCCCTGCCTGCTTCCCCCACCGCACCCTCACCCCAGACTTGGTGGAAATCCTAGGATAAAGATTCGCACCTCACTCTCCCCTCCATCCCTAACCCATCAAGACAGCTTTTCATTGTGGCCATTGAAAGGGATTTAGAAACCAGTTGAAGAGGATTCTTAATAATAAATCACTGGTGCAGCGTGTGGTGGTGTTGTGGGGGGGGCAGTGGCGGGGAGGGCAGGGTACAGTTGACTCACGAGTTACCCCCACCAAAGCTTAAACTGCAGTAATCCTTTCAGCCAGCAGCACTCTGACTAGAGATCTGCAAAATGTCCTCAATCCAGTTCTGATTCATTTCAGAGACCCGCATTAATTCAGAATAGACTCTACAGAGAAACCATCAGCAAAACAAAAAGAGAGAAAGAATAGAGAGGTACCACACCCAGGAATTAATGTCTCAAAATGTCCCCAGTCTCAAAAGCATGGGTGTTACAGAGTGAAAGATTTACCTGTCTGTCATGTTGAGTTTAGAGATTACATCAGCCTGTAAAATAAAACACACAAACACACAGACACAAAAAAACCCCCTGGAGAACAGCCAAGAAGATTAAAATGTCCGTTAGTGCTTTATCACAAACTGATAAGGACATTCATCTTCTGTCCTCAAACCACTTGAAAAAAATTTTAAAACTCCTCAAAGTTTTAGTTTAAACATGCATTTGATCATGATATAACAGAGGTATGGAAAAGAACGCTACATTTTTCAAGCTGAATTAACTATAGCTTTCTTTTCGAAAGTTTATTCCCATTTGGTACTAGAAACCGGACAATGAAGAAGGCCGCAGGATGGACGGATTTATCCTGGCACCACTGAGGCAGCAGTGAAGGCGCAAGTCAGATGGAATGGGCTTTAGGGCCTACGGCCGCCAAAAGACGCCCATCTGACACACGCCGGATAAATCTGCCCGCCCCCCAGCTGCCCGAACCTCAAACTGACTTAACAGAACTGGGGCAGGCAGACTTCCCTCAGCTGACCAAAAAGCAAAAGAACTGACATGCATAGATGTGCATAATGCAAAACCACAAACACTACCTTCCTGGGGGGGCAGCTGACTTAAATGACTTCAAATAGTTTCAACCCCAAGTACAGAACACTCAATTGATGACCCTGGCAACTGGTTTAGCAATGGTGGAAAATCTGGAGTATATAAACCTATGGATGGATGAAATAGAATTGAGTGAAGGCATTCAGAATCATCTTTGATTTTTAAAATGCAAATTTTAATTTGAAAAAGAGCATTTAACCCTGATTCAGCATACTTAACACAAGTGATATTATTATAACCTGAAGATCTTGAGGATATATATTCTGCTTTATTTTTAGGTATTTTGACTTAAGACAATATTGGTTTGCAAGAGCAAATAAATATTGTACTTTTGAGGATTATGGAAAACAGTCACTCAATTCCAGACAGGAAAGCTCTCCGGGCACACTGAGAGACAACTTCAGCAGGCCTTCTCTGTGCCTCCTGAGTCTGGGTTTCCTTCCAGGGCAGCACTGACCTTGAATGTGAAACCCAGGCCCCAGGGGGTGTCCCCTCCCTACCTCCCCGCACGGCTCTAAGAGTGAACGATTGTCAGAGTTTTTCAAAGGTGGTTTTCTTACCTGGCCCAGAAAATAAATTCCTCCGCCTACTACAAAGGCGGAAATTGCTGTACCAAAAACAGAAAACAAGATGATGGACCCAATGTTTTGAAAGAAGTTACCCTGTGTGAAAGAGCAGAAATGAGAGGAACATTTAGAAAAGCCGGTCCAGTCGCTGAAGGCAGAGCCCCCACACCTGGCCCTCCCACACGCTCGATTCTCTGGGAAGGGCGCTATCACCCACCCCCTTCGGCAAGCTGACTCCACGGTCACCCTCATGCCTCCATGCCCACCCCCTGCTTCCCTCCATCCTCCCCTCCACCGCCCTCACCCAAGGCGCTGTCACCTCCCCCCAGGACGACTGCAAGAGCTTCTAACAAGTCTCAACCATTCTTGACTCCCTGCCCTCCTCCACCCTCCAAGGGCTTCCAGAATGATCTTTGCAAAAGACAAATCTGATTGCGCTGCCTTCACTCTGACCCCACCCCACCCCACATCCACTCAAAATGCAGCTAAAGCCCAACCAAAGCCTGAATGGCTCGACCCCTGGGAAGGCCCCTAACCTCCCCCTTTGTTCTCTGGGTGCCCGTCAGGCTGGTGGCTTTCTATTCTTCAAACAGGCTGCGCTCCCTGGACTCGGACCACCCCTCCTTCCTCTTTCCTGGGGGAGCCTTCATCATCCTGAGATCTCAGGACATTTTCACTCTTCCTGAGGGAAGCCTTCTCTGATCCCTCAGCAAAGCCGGGTCCTGTTCTGTGCTCTCAGTGCGCAATGACTCTCTCCTGGTAACATTGATATGGCTGAATATTTACATCGACTTATGTAACTATTTGATGTCTGTCTTTGCCACTAGGCTGCAGGCTCAAGGGGGGTAATAACCACATCTGCTGTTGTACAACATCACTGACATAATGCTTGTCAGATGCAAGATGCCCAATGAATAGGTACCAAAGGAATGAGTTGTGTTTCATGTTTGATCAAAGTCCAACATTTATACAATTATAACTTTTCATTCCATTAAGAAAAGGCGCATTATTGCAAAGAATGTCAAAATAGTAGATTATACTATCAGAAACTCCTCTTTCCTGTCCAGGTCTTTTAAACAATTTTATTTCACTCTATCAGTACCATCGTCAAATATAATTATAACAGATAAAATATATTTCCATCTATACTCTATGGCATATAAGAGAAAATATTTGAGTCCAAGTAGCAGAACATCTTTCAAATTTCCATAAAATTAAGGAAATCAGATGTTTACTGAACCCCGTGGGCCCACTTAGGAGCGGCCCCCGGAAACAGTGACGAGCCCTTGATGGTGAGCGTGGACCAGGGACCCCGTCTTTTCACTCAGGAACTGCCAGGCCGCAGACGACAGGAACTGACATGCTAAAGCTCCCTGCAGAAGGGTGTCCGCAGCTCAGCCCTGACAGCCCGCGGACCCTATGTCCTCCAGGAAGTTCCTCTGCTTCAGTCACTGCAGTTGGGTTTCGCTGCCCATAATCCGACACTCAATTTCTTTCTTTGGCACATCAATCCTGAGCGCACAAAGAACTTCAAAATAACTCAAGGCGAATGCAATGATTTGGATTCTCCTAAACAAAAGGCCTTCATCTATGAGTTTTTCTCTGCAAAAAGCTGCTTTATTTTGTTAGTATTTTAAAATAGATTAAAGTAATAAGTCTTGGTCTGTTTATAGGGAGCTAATTCTGATAAAATATATGTAATTGGTTAATGTTAATCTGGACATTGAAAATTTACCCAAATACATGTTATCATACTGTAAGAACTTCTCTTTGCTAAACAAAGTGAATTTATCTGTTTCTGACATAATTAATGTCCTTTTCTTTGTATGATATTAATAATTTAAAAAGCCAATACCTGGCTACCTAATGCATAACGACTTAGACTAGCCTTGCTGAATTTATTCCAAGCCCAAATTTACATTAGCAAGTACAGCAATATTAAAATAAAACATTCAAAGTTGACTTCCTATCTTCTATGGGGGAAGCAAAGAAGTGGACAGAATCTCTGAATTCGCATTTCCAAGTCACATTAGTCCCTTTTACATACATTGTCACATTTTTATGTGGGAAAGCCATCTTCAAAGACATGATTTTTATTTTATTCTTACTTTTTCTTAAGATTTTATATATTTATATTTTAGAGAGAGGGTAAGGGAGGGAGAAAGAGAGGGAGAGAAACATCAGTGTGTGTGAGACCTCAGTCAGTTGCCTCCCATACTCCCCCAGCCAGGGACCTGGACCAAAGCCCAGGCATGTGCCCGGACCAGGAATCAAACTGCTGACCTTTCGGTTTGTGGGAGAATGCCCAACCCACTGGAGACCCACCACTCAAGGCAAAGAAATGGTTTTTAAAGAAACTATTATTTTCCTCAAATTTTGAACAAGATTATTCCCCCTCCCAAAAAATTTGAAAATAAAACTTTCCATGCTATAACATAATAATCAAAGTGTTTTTAAGTCAAAATCCAATCCATTTCCTCAACATTGTTTTAAAATATTTTCATAATCTGCCCTGGCAGGTGTGGCTCAGTGGATTGAGCGCTGGCCTGTAAACCAAGGGGTCACTGGTTTGAGTCCCAGTCAGGGCACATGCCTGGGTTGCAGGCCAGGTCCCCAGTAGGGGGTGGCCAAGAGGCAACCACACATTGATATTTCTCTTCCTCTTTCTCTTTCCTTTTCCCATATCTAAAAAAAAAATAATAATAATAATCACGGCTTTCATTTCCCCTAAGATTGTTCTTTAAGGAATAAAAAATAAATAAAATAAAATATTTTCATAATCTGCTGATAGTTCTTTTAAGAATTATTTACAAAATGAAAGAGTAAAAGACATTGACTTTAAATTCCTTTTTGTTTGTTTTCTTTCTAACAATTACCTGATGTCAGTAATGGTTTATAAGACTTGGGAATTTTTTTTTTACATTAAACTTTCTTTTCACATTTTCTGTGGATAAATGTACAATAAAATAACAACTTTAAAATAAATCTGGACTGAATATCTTAGAATATTTTTGCTTTGGTACCCAGGTGAAAAATTAAAAATTAATTTGTATGTTTTAACAAAAACTCTTGACAAATTTCACTTCCAAGTTTATTATGTTATTGTTCATAATACTACTAGAAATATAAATATTAGTAATAATAGATGTTATTATTAACAAGAAGCACTATGATTTATTTAATATGGTGGGTGGTGTTTTGCACACATTTTTTAATCTAGTGTAAGTTTCAAAGCAACCTGAGAGGTAGGGTTTTGGTGGGGTTTTTTGTTGTTTTTTTAAAAATTTCTATGGTTCCCAAATGGAATCCATAGGGGGCAGCACATGATTAGATCTAGGTCTCTGGCTCCAAAGTCCAGGTTCCTTCCTCTCTCCCAAGAGTAGGCCAAACCTCAGTCCTTGCGACCCTCATAATTTTTTTAATCACAGTTACAAAATAACTTTTGTATTACTAACATTTTAAGTTGAATCACCTATATTAAAACTTAAATACATTTGTATTTAAAGAAAACTCGTAGGAAAAAAAAAAAAAAAACAACCCAGTCCTATACACAAAACTGGCTTAAAAGTGAAGAGCTCCCGCCCAGGCAGAAAGAGTCCACCTGAAATTGGAGGCCAGAGGCCAGAAAGGACAAGGCAAAGCAGGGAACTGAGCAGGGGACCGCGATGCCACTCTTCAGGCTGTAGCTGGGGGGCTGCGACCGGCGGAACCACGGTGGGACTGGGTGAACATGGCAGAAGGAGCTGGAAGACGAGGCAGAAGGATGGGACTCCATCCTGTGCGGAGCAGCGGGGCTGGGGAGGAGCGGGGAGACTGGGGGGGGAGGGGAACAGCAGCTGGGAGTCAAGGCCCAGGGCAGGGTACTGAGAGGGGAGACACTGGAGGGTGAATGGGCCTAAGGAGGGAGAAGGGCCCCACAGGGTGAGCCCTGCGCGTCACTTTGGCCATATTCCTAGGCAAAGCACCCTTCTGTGGACAACACTAGTTTAACAGGCCACACTACTGCAACCTTGGAAGCAGCCCACTGGCCCTGTCTGCTCCGGCCCCCCAGGCAGGCGGTCCAGTCCAGCCTCTCCCATGCCCGCCCAGGATGTGCACACAGACACACTGCTTCTAAATTAACGTCCTGGCTTTTAAGGAACTTGCCTTACCAACATGGGAAGCCATCCAGTCTTACCTTGTGTAATGAATATCCTGACTCAAATATAATAGGTGGAAGCAACAGAAGGAAAAACATATTTGGACGAAACATCTCTTCTTCCTGTAAATATAAAATGGGCACTCTCAGAGGCAATTAAGAAATAAATCCATCAATGAAGAGTCAAAGTGACTCTTCTCTTAGGCCTGGCCCAGTAGAATCATATCACATTTAAAACACTGCATGATAAAAGCACTGAGCAGGAGGACAGACAAAAACAAAAATAAAAAGCACCACCCCCCAAAAAAACCAAAACGTACATTTTAAAATGTGGGATAAGTGAGTTTAAAAGGTGACCAGCAAAAGAAAAGGCACAATGAACAGCTTCTAAACCCACAGTTGTATGCTTTTTATCCTTCACTAAGGAAAGAAAATTAATTTTAATATAGAAAACATTTCGAAGAGAACACTTTCAAAAGCAAGCGCACACACTGGACTCCTGCAGGGTAAAGGCACCGGTAAGTCCAGAAACAGCCCCCTCGGAGGGAGAGTAAACCCTACACATGTTTAACACAGCCCTGCCTTCTCTCTGCCTGTCACGGACAACGCTGCCATGTTCCTCGATCTGACTGTGATCAAAGAGTCCCCATCCGATGTCCTCACGATTTGGGACATGGCTCTAAAGCCAGTCCCTCACTGTGCTTTCTGTTTCAAAAGTTCAGTACGATCATGAAAGATACCTCCAGGTAGCGCCATCTTTGGAGGGATGAAATAACACTCTAATGGCTGGTGGACTGGGGGAAAATATGCTTTGGCCCTCCAACCTAAAATGACCAGATGCAATACATGTAAATACTGCAAAACCAGGCCTTTTTTTCCTGTGAAAATTTCTATGCTACTATCTTGACAGTATGATTTCTTATCAAAATCCATATTCAAAAGAATAGCTAATTCTTATAAATGTGCAGCTGTTCCCATAAAGACTAAAATAGCATTAAAAAAAGGCTCAAAATAGAAGTAAATGATGACTTCTGATTAAGTCTTAAAATAACTGCCTGTACAACAAGCTCATGACTCAGACTGGGACCATGTGAAAAGAAATGGGCTGATCTCCATGGTTTGTGGGGCAACCAATTCTCAGGATCTGGGCAGTGCAGCCACTGTACTGATCTTTTTGGAGTTTCAGAAACTAAACCTTCCCTGGGAAAAAGGAGAGCCGAGCTACAATGGACTGCGTAGCATCCTCCAGCCCCAGTTCACATCTACCTGGAACTTCAGAATGTGACCTCATTTGGAAATCAGGTCTTGGCAGATGTAACCAAGGGAAGAATCCAGGTGAGATCATACTGGACTAGGCTGGACCCCAAGCCCAATGAGTGTCCTCATTAGGGATAGAAAAGGACGCACGTGGGCACGCGCGCGCGCACACACACACAGGGCCGTGTGAAGACAAACCGAGGCAGGACACAGCCAAGGAATGCCCAGGACCTCCAGGACCTAGAAGAGACAATGAAGGATTCTCCCTGGGAGCCTGGATTCACTCCCTAGAGGGGGTGTGGCCCTGCCAGCACCTTGGTTTCGGACTCTAGCTTCCAGAACTATGAGAGAATAAATCTCCGTTCTTTAAGTCACCCAATTTGTGACAATTCGTCACAGCAGCCACAGGAAATGCACCCACCACCTTACAATGAAGAGTGTTACAGAAAGGTCCCTGGTTCCTTCTGGCAATGTTTTCCCCAAAATAGTCTGAGATAATTTTCCGGGGCACTTGAGAAGTGTGCGCCACATACCGCTGACCCCGCGGACTGAGAAAGTCAGCCCCTTTGGAGCCATTTCCAATCCCAGTGAAGTCAGACACCAGCCTGGCACTGCGGTGTGTAAAGCCTCTCTCCAAAGTGCTGATCTCTCTTTTTGACAAAGAGAACAGGCTTGCCTCAGAGGCTACAGCAGGCACATGTACTCCTTTGTTTTTATTTTGTTTTCTTATAAAAACGATATTGGTTTTCCACTTTAAACAGTATTACAATGTTCCCTTTAAAATAAATGTACATAGAGTATACCAACGTTCATTGCAGTATTATTTACAGCAGCTAAAAGGGTCAAAGAAGCAACCCAAGGGTCCATCACTGAATGAATAGATACACAAAGTGTGGTACAAACCTACGTGGAATATTATCCAGCCATAAAAAGAACGGCAATTCTGATACATGCAACAACATGGATGAACTCTAAAAACAACATGCTACGTAAAATGAGCATACACAAAAGGCCAAATGTATGATTTCACCTAGAGATCATGAGATACCTAGAATACATAAATTCATATAGATTACTATAAAAATAAAAAGAAAATGCTAAACAAATAGAAAGTAGAATAAAAAGTAGGGAGAGAGAGCTCTAGCTGGGGTGGCTCAGTGTAGTGCATGCTGGCCTGCAAACTCAAAGGCTGCCAGTTCAATTCCCAATCAGGACACGTGCCAGCCAGGGCAGGTCCCTGGCTGAGAGTGTGCGAGGGACAACCAACTGATGTTTCTCTCGCATATCAACATTTCTCTCCCTCTCTTCCTCTCTTCTTTCCCCTCTCTCTGGAAACAAATAAAATCTTTAAAAAAAAAGTTGGGGGGGAGATGGGGAGTTGTTCAGTGGATAGAGTTTCTACTTGGGATGATGGAAAAGTTCTGGAAACAGATAATGGTGGTGATTATCCAACACTGTGGGTGTATTTAATGCTACTGAATTGTACACTTAACAATGGCTAAAATGAACAATTTTATGTCTTATATATTTTACCACAATATGCTTTGAAAAAAACCTGCTACAAACATGTATACAAATAAAAAAGCTGGTCAATTAAAAAAAATATACTAAGCGTATGACAATACAGGCAGAAGGCAGGCCCAGCGAGTCAGTCTGAAACAGAACTCGTTGGAGAAAGAAACCCCAAGCTCCTTGCTCTTCTGGTCTCCAGGTGCTCCCTGCAGCACCCGGGTTCCAAACAGCGTCCCGCTTCCCACTGCGGCTCTCCACAAACAGCTGTTCTTCCAGGAAGCCTGCCCCAACTACCCCTGCTAGAAACCGTGCCCTTTCTGAGGTTAAGCACTGGTTGCCCAGATGGGTCTTCAGGCATTTGATTATATTCATCATCAACTCTGGTTCACTTGTCTGTGCTATTGAATGTATTACTATCTAACTTGAAAAGAAACATCTTGAAAACTAAATTCAATAACGCTGAAGCATATAAAACTAAAAGTGAAAGGTAACCCCCCCCCTTCTCCCACTACTCAGAGCAGGGGTTCCCAGTTCGAAGGCTCCTTCTACCCGGGGGCGCTGCTTCCCCTCAGTGCCTCGGATCTCTGCTGGGCAGAATGTGGGCTGGTGTTAAGGGAGCTGCTTTTTCAAGAGAAGCTAGAAGTTCATATTTTTAAGTGAAAGTTCCAGAATTTTATATAGATTAATAATATTTTAAAGTCAAACAATTTTTGTTTTAAAATCAATTCCGATTTTGATTAACTAATTTTAAATCAAATGAAACATAATGTGTTAGGTGCAATTCTCTGCGTATCAGGTTAGAACAGTGCTGGGAGAAGGGAGAGGGCTCCAGCCTGTCCCCATGACCTGGGGCGACCCCCGGTTAAACTCAAGGAGCCGCAGGACAGCAGAGACAAACCATTCACAACGTGTTCCAGGGGCGCCTGCCCGGCCTCAGCCCCAGCCGAGGGGAGTTCTGTGACATTAGCTGCTGAATATACATTTGAGAATTTGTTTAATATGTACAATATTTCTTGAATATTATTTACAACAGTTTCAAATTGTGTTTTATGTCAGATTATACAGCTTGCTTTACAAATTTTACCCTCTACAGCTTAACAGGCAAATTAATCTGAGAGGCAGGGCTCAAAAGTGATCTATTTTAACCTACCAATTCTTTAATATTTTGAAATGGACCTTACTTCCATTCACAAATTTTATAATACACTCAGTAATCTCTCTGCTTAATATGGATGCTCAAATTTAAGTTGAAATTCAAGTTTCAATTAGTCTTCATATCACCAGGTGATGCTCACGCTCTAACGGCCATTGTGTAAACACAAAGGCATGGGCATCCACAAATGGAGGACAGCATGGTGCGGTGGAGAAAATATAGGATACTCAGGACCAGAGGGCCTGAACACATGACTCTGCTCAGCCCCTTTCTAGTTCTGTGACGTTGGACATGCTCGACTTCTCTGAGCAGTACTTTCCTCATCTGTAAAAATGGGGCGATGATAATCCTCAATCTACCTACCGTGGGTATCATGAAGACAACATGAGCTACAGTTTGTAGAGCATTCTGTAAGCTCTACAGTGCTGGACAAACATGTTTTATTATTCTTAGCTGTGAGAATGGAATTGGGAGCAATACACATTGTTTAATAGTTAATGCTAATTAGAGCCTTTCCCTAAGATTATGAAAACATGCAATATGTTGAGTGTTCCCACATTAACTTGATTGAAACGGTGTGAGAATTATGCTTTAAAAAAACTCAGATGTAAAGGTATCAACCCTCATCTAGCAGAATATTAAATTAATGGAATAAAGTAAACTTCACTGATAAGAAAGCCACCATAACCACCAGTTCTACTAAAATAAAGAACCACCAATAAAAATTGTAAATATGTTAAAATATGAACAGTTGGGCAAACCTACCTTCCAATTTGCCAGTTTTTTAAACTCTATAATTTTTATAACTGCTCCCATGAGAATACCTAGAAAAGAAAACATAAGTTTAACATAAATTTAAGGTACAAGGAAGATTACTCAGGTTTATTATTCTAGAGAAGCTGAATATCATTATGTCTCTAAATGGCTTTTAGGGATTTCTGCAAGTTTTATGTCTGAAAACATAAGAATGAAAATTAATGTGCAGTTGTATGAGTTACATGAGTTTCTCACTTGCATTTCAGGCAAACATACTATAATCAAGTCTACAAAAATCTGGGGGTGGGGGGAAGAAAAAGGTTTACAAAATAGGACCCCAAAACAGTCTATCCCCTTACATATTTCTATTTAACCACATGGTCCTGGTGTGTGCGTGTATGCGCGCATGTGTATACACACCCAAGGCACATCTGTGTGTATTTATATAAAATTTATGGTGCTGTAATGTATCTTTCTACTATTTGCTATTTTGCTCAGTGTTAAGTCTTGATCTATGTGTAATAATAGATCAGAGATTACTACGTGCAGTTCTGCCTCATTTCTTTTAACAGCCCTACAGCAAAGCATAAAAATGCCACAGACTGAACAGACATTTCTCCAAAGTAGATACAGACATGGCCAAAAAGCACATGAAAAGATGTTTAACAACATTAGTCATCAGGGAAATGCAATTCAAAACCACAACAAGGTACCTCTTCATACCCACTAGGATGACTATAATAAAAAAACGTGGAAAACAAGTGTTGGCAAGGCTACAGAGGAGAACTGGAACCCTCATACACTGCTGGTGGGAACGTAAAATGTGCAATTGCTATGGGAAAACAGTTTGGCGGTTTCTCAAAAAGTTCAACTGAATTATCATAAGACTCAGGCATACACCAAGACAAGGAAAACACACCTTCCTACAGAACCTTGCAGGTGGATGTTCATTAGCAGCACTACTTATAACAGCCCAAAGGTGGATACAACCCAAATGTCCAAACTGATTAAAGGATTAAAAAATGTGGTTGTATCCACACAATGGAATATTATCCAGCAATAAAAAGGAATAAAGCACTGATTCATGCAGCACCGTGGATGAATCTTAAAGACATGTTATGTGAAAGCAGCCAGACACAAAAGACATATTTCACGATCCATTTATATGAAATGTCCAGAATAGGCAAATCTCTAGAGACAAAAATGGTTGCCTAGGATGAGGAGTAGGGCTTTGGGGGTGATAGCTTTCTTTTTAGGGTGATGAAAATGTTCTAAAGTCGATTATTGTGATGGCTGCATAATTCTGTGACTATACTAGAAACCACTGAATTGTACGTTTAACATGGGTGACTTGTATGGTACGTGAATATACCTTAGTAAAGCTGTTATTAAGAAATGGCCACAGATTGTAGGATTCCATTTACGTGAACTGCCCAGAAGAGGCAAATCTAGAGACAAGAGGCAGGTTAGCAGCTGCCAGAGGTAGGGGAATGGGGGGGGTGGGGGGGACGGGGAGTGACAGCTACCAGGTAGAGGGTTTCTTTTTGGAGCGATGGAAATGCTCTGGAATTAGTGGTGGTGGTGGTTGCACAACCCTGAGACTATACAAAGAAAGCAGTGAATTGTACACTTGGAAATGCTGAAGTTTATGATATGCAAATTATATTTTAATTTTTTTAAGTCACATTTTTTAAAACTATTCAGCCAAAAATGGCTGTCTCCAACTGTTCGCTCCTAACAGCATGCTGCAGTGAACAAGCTGGTGCATGCCTCCTGTGCAAGAGCGTTGCCCTCAGGCGGATCCGGAGACAATGAATGGCATGAGCTTTTTCACCTCTGAGTTGTCCTCGGGAGTGGCTGCACTGCTTTCCACCAGAGCGATCCCTACACCCTCACCACCCCTGCTAGTCAGCAGACTTCAACATCTCTGCCAGGGGGGTGGGCAAGAAACTGCGCTTGAAGGTTTCAGTTTGCATTTACAGTCAATCTGCCTTGAGTAATCATTCCTGAATGCTAGGAAAGTTGAACCTCTTTTCACGGTTTCAGATTTCACTTTAAAAGCTAGTGGGTTTTTTTTGTATTTTTGCTCTACTAAAACCTCAACTTTCTTTTTCCCCTTGTAAATGTATAGCAAACCTTAATACCATGATTAACACTTGCAATTACATATGAAGCAGTAACATTTGAAAATCAGTAATTATCTGTTGCAGAAGCTTGTTTTTATATTATTATTATTTATGAGGCACTAGAAAGCTTTGTAAAATATAATATCATTATTACTACTATCATTATTATTGTTTGAGCGATCCTTTTGAGGAGTCCTAGGACTAAACTATGGCACAGCATTAAATTGGCAAATTATTCCTTTACCTTTTGAGACTGAGGTCCAATGCTAGGAGAAATTAATTTATACCACACAACTGGTCGCCAGATGGAAATAATGTCCTACATGCAATTTGTACATTCCCATCAGTAAAAAGAATTTGAGTACGCACCTTCAAGTTACAAATGTTTATTATTATAAAACAGTACTACTACATTAATATACTTTAAAGTAGACACAGAAATAGAAAGGATAAAAAAAGATTAAAATTAAATAGAAACTTAAACTCTACCATTTTCTTTTGCCTCCCAATGGATCTTTGTGCACACACCTCATTATGGACACTATTAGATTAAGTCAAAACATCGGGAGCCTCGACATAATTATTTGTTGAGCCTCCTCCCCCAGGACGTCACTTTAACCTGCTTCTGACCCTCAGGAGACTGCTGCCGGTAGGAGGGCTCAGGGAGGCTAAGACGGCTCAGGGCCAGCAGGCGACACTGAGCCGACTGCCGACTCCCATGTGTGTCCCACCACCTCGCGGTGCTGCTCTACCAAGACCACCAGAGTAAAATGCCAGGGTTCCTGATAATTAATTAGCATAATGGGAGAATGCCTAAAATGCATTAAGTATGATAATCGGGTTGCAAAACAGAACATAAAACAGGATCCTAGTTCCCTTAAGGCACACGTACGCACACACATACACACATTTGCACTGTATTAAAGATACACAGACACAAACAGGGTGCCAGACACTATGCCAGTATATACAATATATGTTACTTAGCTCATTCTCACAATTAGTCTATAAGGTAATAAACCATAATAATATAGATGACAGTATTAACAGCAGCAGCTAACAGTTACTGGTTACTTAGCGGGTAGGCATCATTCTGAGGGAGCTCCATGCAGCACCCTGTTTAGTATCTGCAATCCTATGAAGCAAAGGCATTGTCACCTGCATTTTACAGATAAGGAAACTGAGGTTAAGGCCCAACCTTAGTATGTTCCTTCTGAGAGTCTGTACATTTAAAGTCATATATGTACATAGGCTTGTAGATATAAAATAACTTTTAAGACAAAACAGCAGTGTGGTATTTACCGTTCTGTTCCTAACTTCCACCGTATCTTGGAAACCATTCCCTGTCCATGCATAACGAGCTCCCCACTTCTTGTTTTATTAATGGCCGCAGTGCCTTCCTCTGCAGTCAAGTGCCACCTATCAGTCTGTCCCCTAGTCATGAGCCCACGGGAGTTTTCCAGGCTGGTGCTCTCACTGCCATTCCCATTTGAGTAAACACTTCATTCCACATGTGGGAGGGTATCTACAGGAAAACCTCCTGAAACGAGGGTTGCTGGGCCCAAGTACTGGCATTTTAAATTCTGTAGAGAGCTTACCAGCTGCTTCCCAGACGCTGTAAGGCCCGCCAAGTCCCCGTGACCAGGCCCGTCTGTGTGACCTGCCGTGAGTGCTGGCTAAGTGCTCACACTTCACCAGAAAACTGCCCTTGGCTGCCGAGAGGCCCCTCGTCACGGAGGCTGTGCCTGCCCTGCGCCCCCCACAGCCGATGATAACCGCAGGGGCGCAGACGCCCGGCCCCTTTGCTCTAAGGAGGGACAAGCTCTGCGTGAGCTCTTGCCCTGGAGCCCTCCTCCCAGGCTCGGGCTGCGCGTGCCCTGAGCTCACACCCCATGTCTGGCTCTCTCCGCGTCCCTGGTCCGGTGTATGCGTTCCTCACACAGTTACTCCTGAAAAGCACCTCCTAACAAATTACATGTCCTCAAACCTGTCTCAGGCTCTGCTTTCAGGAGCCGCCCTAAGACAGTTGGTGCCAGGAGTGGAGTGGGCACAGGCAGCCAGGCCGGAGGACGGGGTTCGGGAGCTGGCCGGCAGTGAGGGGCCCCGCACTGGCAGTCAAGTACTGACAGTCCCTCCCCTGGGGCGGCAGTGCCATCGCTTAGACTTGTGCTCGAGGTGGACAGGGTCAGGACACTGGTGGCTCACGCCATATCTCCGGCGTCAGAGAGGCAGGGAGAAATAACAACCGTGAAAACAATAACCACGGCAGTGCTGCTGAATGCCACTGACGCGCTGAAAGGAGAAAATGACAGGCTCGGACAATCCGACTGAAAGTAAAAGGTGGGAGTCGGAGGACCTCCTCGGCGGCGTTTAAGCCGACCCTTCATCACCCGCAGCTGGGGGCGCTTCTAGAGCTGAAGGTCAGGTACAGAGCTTAACCGCAGGAGTGGCAGATCTTCATAGAAAGCAGAATTCAAGAAGGCAGCTCGCCGACGCACACCCCCCTAGGCCTTGATAAGGCAGAAGTGGGACGCGGAGATGAGGGACAGGGGTATCGGGGAGATGCGCACGAGCACCTTCTCCCTTCAGGTTCCCGTGAGCCTTCTGGGCCTGCAGAAGTCGCACCCACCGCCCCCCTGCGGGAATACGGAGCTCCCCAGACTATCTCAAGATTACACAGAAGCCCCGAATGAGGCAAGTGCCTTACATGACTCCCGCTTTCTGTTCTACATAGTCCCAAAGCACCTATGCTACACGGACATTCCACAGGACGACACACTGGGTCTGCTACACTGCTGACATCACGCTGATCCGGTATGACAAGTAAGAAGTGGTGAGTAGGTGTCTTGGTAAGACACGCATGCCTCAGATGACAGAAAGTGCCAGGAGCCTGCCCATCTGTGAAGTTTTGAGGAGTCAAATGGCTGGAGTGTGCCAGGACA